TTTATCCTACATTACTTATACTATGCCTCAATTCATGTGTTTGAATACTTGTAGGTTAGACACCTGGTAGTGGAAACACTAAATAAAAAAAATGTGAATTTTACATCTTGAAATATAAAGCAATTATACACTGCCCTCAAAAAAGAATATAGTAATCTCATTTGTATGTTTGTATGCCGGGAGCCGCACCGGCCTCTCTGGATGGCAGTCACAGCAAGGAAGTGGCAATGTTTGCAGCTCCTGCCATGAGAAACGAAAACTGGTATCTCCTTCTGCTACTATTGGCTCATGTTGGATATAAGCCTGCTGGTATTGACCAGGCCTCACAATATTCCATATCAGACCCATATTCTGAATACAGATGCCTCATAAGGAAAAGCATATTCCTGCCTTTACAAAAGAGATTCTGGATGAAAGCTCTATGGGGAAGATTGTCAAAAGGCTCTTCCTGTGGGCCTTGCAGATCCGAGACTCAGGGGGTTAAGAACACAAGAATTACAATTGAGCCTGGCCCTGAGACCAAGGGCCTATTTTGGGGTTAAGAGCAAAACATAGTTACCACATATATCTTTGCTAATTGGTGAAACATAACAGTCCCTTCCTCAAAGCCTACTTTCTACAAACACCCTCTCTTACACTGGCAGCTGGGATGAGGATAGATAAAAGTAGCTAAAACATAACCCAGGGGCAAAAGACTGACCCATTCAGGGCCCCCATGATAGTTTCCACAAACAAACCAATTCAGAAACATTCATCCTCTTGAGAGCCAGACAAAATACTCCTAGCTTATCTATATACAATTTGACCTATATGTTATCCTGTTTTTCACTAAGAACATTCTGTTATTTCCTTGGTCAGAATAATTCTACTATTGTTAGCACAAAAGGCCTCCCATTTTAAGAAATTCCTTTCTCCGACTTCATCTTGTTGCTGAACCTTTAAATAAAGACACAAAAACCGACAGGACAGAGATGCCTGCCTGGTGATCAGAAAGAATCTCGGGGCTCTCTCACTCCCTCTCGCCGACACCATCCATCCTTCAGGGACTCCTGGACCTGCCGGAGCCGGCCTCCGACATTTGTACATGCAATTTGTCTGAAGATAAGTTTTCTTACTTAGGTTACAAAGTTATTTCATTTTTTCCTCTCTTAAATGCAAAAGGGGCCTGTTTAGTTCTTGGAGGAATTAACCTAATGTCTGTGTATGGAATATCATTGGCCATCCCTGTAAACTTTGTCTGAGACGAGAAAATCTGTTGATAATCTCCTAGAACTATACTATTTTATTAAGAGAAATTCTTTGGGTATTGATTATAAAAGATATTCCTTTTTCAAGATCAATTTGTGTTCTACATTTCAATAATTAATGAAAGGTTCAACATAGGTAATGGGCCAGATTTGGCTTGTGGACCATAGTTTATTATTACAGAGCCTGAATACTTACATAAAGTATCTAAAATAGTCAAACTCTGAAAATGGGATGGTGGTTGCTGGGAGCAAGCAGGAGGGAAGAGGAAGCTGTTAAAGTTTCAATAACGCTGGATGAGTAAGATCTGTGACAACACTGTGTCTGTAGGTAACAATACTGTATTGCACATTTGAAAATCTGCTGAGGGTAGACCTAATGCTGAGTGCTTTTACCACAATAAAATAAATATAAAAACTAAAATTGTCAATAGATATATGTAAAGATATCCCACGTCCCTAATAAATAAAGAATACATAAATTAAAAGGCAAACAACACCAGATTGTTGAAAATCAGGTAACTAAACAGTGTTTCTGAGTATATAGGGGGAAAAAGGCTTTCTCATGGTGTAATGAAGGATTAACTCAGCAGGCCTGGGTTGTCCAAACTCTGCACACCCCAAAGAAAGGTTTGACCCTGATCACACTCCTAGAAGATAACCTCTCAGACTTTGGACCATCCTGCTTGATAAGAGTCTATTGTCTAGTTGGGGCTTTGGGTCACACCTGATAATTTATGTTAACAACGTGGCTAATGGTACAGGCACTTGTACCACATGCTATCAGTGTTAGCAGGAGAGGCTAGAGACTGAGGAAAGAAGGCCAACCACGTATGCACTCCATGGAGACACGACTAGCCCCTCGTGAAAACCCTGGATACCAAAGCTTGGATGCGCTTTCCCGACTGGCAATACTTCACATATGTGATGTCACATGGCTGGGAGTATTAAACACTGTCCAAAGACACCATTAGAAGGGAACAAGTGGAAGCTTATGCCTGATTTCTCCTGGACTCTAATCTACGTATCTTTTACCTTTGCAGATTTTTTTAATTCCTGCTGATTTTAATCTGTAACATTTCAATGTAATAAACCATAACCATGAGTACAGCAGGTTTTTTGAGTTGTATGAGTCCTTCTATAATCGTTGAACCTGAGGGTAATTCTGAAGACCCCAACCACGCTCATATAGTTTGTATCACTGTAAATTGTTACAGCTCCTCTTGGAGGGCAGTTTGGCAGTATTATTTTAACCAGAAATCTAGGAATTTACTCTAACACCAGACACACATACACACACACACACACACACATACACCATACCACACAACACATATAAAAGAATGTTCATGTAGTTGTTTGTCAGAGCCAAAGACTGGAAACATCTAAAATTCATTAATAAGGCACCATTTACAGGAAATATTGCTTATTCACTTAATTAGATCTAATAAACCAACTTATAAAAATAGAGATTGATATATATGAGCTGATACGGAAAGACTTTCAGGATACATGGTTGTGTAGGACAGAGTTCTTTATAGCTAAACCAGAAAAGCTCTATTTTTATATCTGGGGAAGTCTGGATATCTAGCTTTGACAGTTGGTCAAGATAAGGGCAGTTAAGATTTATAATGTGCTATTTAAAGTCTGAAACTCCCCTGGTACCCACCATGGGCAGTTTGCCTACTGACGGTTTTCATTTGGCAGAATCAGACAGCCTGGCTTGACCATATGGCCAGAGGGGCATAAACACTCACTGGGAACTTTTGTGTATATACATATGTATGTATGTATGTATGTATGTATGTATGTATGTATGTGTGTGTGTGTGTGTATATATATATATATATATATATATAGGCATGAGAGAGAGAGAGAAAGAGAGAGAGGGAGGGAGAAGGAGAGGGAGAGGGAGAGGGACTTCCTGTTTGTGTGTGTGTGGGTATAGAGAAAGAGAAAGTGGGGGGAGGAAAAAGAGGGGGGGCTTCCTGTGTGTGTGTGTGTGTGTGTGTGTGTGTAGAAGGAGAGAGACAGAGAGACTTCCTTCCCCTTTCTCCACCAAATAATATGAAAATTAGTTTATAAGAATGCCTAAGTAGCATCTAATTTAAGTAAGTGTAGACAATTATAGTAAATAGACAGTTTTTAATTTTATTCACCAGTGAATGTCTAACAAGATCTCTACCAGGCAATAATATTATGGCATTATAATATGCTATAATCAACACAAGGTGAAAAACAGTGGCAATGAGGAGGTGACAATGGGAATGTTTCTATCATTTGTGCGTTGAGAACTGGGATGATAAGGCTGTAAGCCACTGAATGAAAACTAAATTTGAGAATGCACACATACAGAAACATAAAAACACTCACTGAAATATGCACTCTTCAGGTCCATAAAACATACACTGAAGGAAAGGAGCAGAAAGTGGGAAAGGAGAGAAAAAACGACAAAGGGGCACGAAGATAGAGAAAATGAGAGAGGAAGAGAAGTGGCAAAAGGGAGAAAGGCAGAAGAAGGTGAGAGGATAAAGATACACAGAGGAGAAGGAAGACACTCAGTGTGGGGCGGGGGCAGGGGGGAGGAGCCAGAGGTAGGGAGAAAAAAGAGCAAGATTACAGAGCCAGCTGGCATCCCCTGTCTGCAACCTCATTCCATGTCAGAGTGTCAACGTGACTGGACCCGTCATTCTATTTGCAATTGTTTAGAATTACACAGTTCTGGCACAGGTTTTAAGTCCCTCTTTTAGGGGCGTCTGGGTGGCTCAGTTGAGTAAGCGACCGACTTTGGCTCAGGTCATGATCTCACAGTTTGTGGGTTAGAGCCCCGTGTCGGGCTCTGTGCTTACTGCCAGCTCATAGCCTAGAGCCTGCTTCAGATTCTGTGTCTCCCTCTCTCTCTGCCCCTCCCCTGCTCATGCTGTCTCTCTCTCTCTCAGAAATAAATAAAAAACATTAAAAAATTTAAAAAAAAAAGTCTTCCTTTTAGGCTCATGTGGTTTAAAACTGAAACGCAAGTATAAATGCACACAGATTTTGAAGATTTCATATGAAAAAAAGAAAGGAAAACATTTTGGATATATTTGGCTTAAATAAAATATATACATATTTAAAAATTTTTTTTAATGTTTGAGAGAGAGAAAGCGTTGCAAGTGCGGGTAGGGGGAAAGACAGGAGACACAGAATCCGAAGCAGCTCCAGGCTCTGAGCTGTCAGCACAGAACCAGACATGGGGCTCGAACTCATGGACCATGAGGTTGTGACCTGAGCTGAAGCTGGACACTTAACCACCTAGGCACTCCTAAATAAAATATACTTTTGGAATCAATTTCACTTACTTTTTTTTCTTTAAAAATTTTTTATGTTAATTTTTGAGAGACAGAGTGCAAGCAGGGAAGGGGCAGAGAGAGAGAGAAAGAGAAAGAGAGAGAGAGAGAGAGAGAGAGAGAGAGAGAGAATCGGAAGCAGGCTCCAGGCTCTGAGCTGTCAGCACAGAGCCCTATGTAGGGCTCGAACCCATGAGATGTGAGATCATGTCCTGAGCCAAAGTCGGACACTCAACCAACTGAGCAACCAAGGTGCCCCTCTTTTTCCTCTTCTAAAATGTGGCCCCTAGAAAATGTTCAATGATACATACAGCTCATGTTATATTTCTGTTGGAATGCACTGTTCTATCACCATGAGTCTCCTCATTAAAATCAAGGTTGACAAAGTAAGTTTGCTAATATTGAATGTCAAAAACATCCAGGAACCTACCAATATGCTGGACTTTTTCATCAATGACCTCACAGTGGTATGGCCACCGTGTTGAACTCAGGGGACCAGAAGAAGAAACACCATACAAATCTCGTGGTTCACGAAGGCGTGGCACCCATCGGCCAAGTTGATATTCCAACAGTATCTGGGTGGTCCGGGGGAAACACGGGTCACCAACAGAGTCAGCTGAAAAAAGATTCAAACACAATCATGAGTGATAAGAAGCAAAACCCCAATTTCTGTAATTTTTTTAATAGATGCCTCTTCCCCTTCCAATACCATTAATTTGTAAATATTTGTGGACATTATTTTATAATTCATGCCACTTAAAAAATAAAATAACTGGGGCACCTGGATGGCTCAGTCAGTTAAGCTTCTGACTCTTGATTTCAGCTCAGGTCATGTTCTCATAGTTGTGAGATGAAGCCCCCAGTCAGCCTATGCTTAAGATTCTATCCCTCTCCCTGTGGGCCCCCCCCCCCCCCCGCCCTTACTGGCTCTCTCTCAAAAAAAAAATTACTATTGAAATTTTGTAACAATTGATCTTCACAATAGCTAAAATGTAGGGTTTGACCTCAGATACTATTATTTTATGCTAATTTCTGCGCTACTCCAAAAACATTTATTTCTCACAGTTGTTTTTAGCAAACTGTCTACTGCCAAGTCTTCCTAAACTTTTAATCACACAGAGGCAACTATTTGCCCACGACCATGATTTCTCACTGCCTACTGGAAGAATATTCTCAAAGGTTGCTAGGGAACTCTGTCACAAATTTTTCTGTTCTCATTCTAGGGTCCCTGTGTGACACAACCCCAAGCACACAATTCACAAAATACAACAGGGCTGCCGCAAGCAGGGAGTGCAGAGGCTGTGTCTTTCAGTGGGATGACTGTGGGGCATCCATTTGATGTGGATAATCGCCCCTCATGTACCTTGTCTTTGATGACACTATACTTTCCTGTTTTCTCCCTGCCTTTCACACACTTCATTCTCCATTCATCGGACGACTCTTGCTCTTCTACCTCCAAAATGCGGCTTTTTACCTAGATTTAGTTTTGGGCTATTTTTGTACAATAACAGATCTATCAACTGGACTAGGAGTCAGACCAACTGAGTTCTATTCTAGCACTTTGTTTCTATATGATTTTGCTTGGCTAATGCAGCCTTTTCGAACATAAATGTTACTATATGTAAATAAGGAATAATAATACCTTCCTTGCTACTTCTCAGGATTGTTTAGATCCAATTTTTCATCAGTTATTAAGCATCTAGTATTTCAGACCACGTTTTGTCTAATTTACAGTATGACTCAAATATGGCAAGGCAGCTATGAATTAGGAAATAAAACTAGATCTATATCTCATACTATTTATGAGCGTAAATTATAGAGAAATTAAATACAAAATTTAAAGTATTTAGAGAAAACTTATATGATTATCTTGATGACCTTGGGGTAGGGAAGGCCTCTGTAGCTTGACCAGATTTAAAAATAAAGAGCCACAAATGAATAATGATAAATTTAGCACCAAAATAATTCTAAATAATGGAAGCAACATTAATAAAGGACTACTATAACAGGGAATTCATGATAAGAGGAAATATAAATAGACAAGCGTATGAAATAATTCTCAATTTCTTCAGCAATAAAGACGATGTTGGTTAAAACAGTGAGTTACCTCCTTTTTTCCAACAGATTGGCAAAATTTTAAAGAGAAAAAGGGTGGCAAGAGGTTCATAAACTAGTACTACACATTTTCTATGACAACGGGTATAGATATGTGTGTAAGTGCAAAGAAAGAGGTCTAGATGGATACATACCAAACTAAGAATAGTAAGTATCTCGAGACTTTTACGATGATAGAAAGAAAGAAAAAAGAATTAGCTTATCTTCAATTCCAGATCATCTGTGATAGATATGTGACTATTTAGAAGAAACGTTTTGGTGTGTTTTTTAAAACTCTAAATACAACTCTAAATGTATACATCTTTAAAAATCAAGTATACACCAAGATTCCACATACGTGTACTTTTGCAAGTGAATGGCTTTATTAAGAAAAGTCTATACAGGCATACTTCACTTAAACAAAGATGTCCTTTAAAAACACTGTTGTCTACTGTAACTCAAGGCATACTGGAAATTTAAAGTGCCAGTTATTTAAAGAAATGCTTATGTAAATCTTTATGTTAAGTGCAGTCCATTAGAAAGTAATGACCACTTTTATTTAGTTTCATTCAATATCAGGTTTACCTAAAACCTTCATAGTTTGAGCTCCAAAAGATTCTTATAAGAGTGGAGACATTTTCTCTCCTTATCCAATATCAGAGTACATTCTTATATTATTCAATCTTTTTTTTCTCGTGTCTTCATTTTCTTATTTTTCACTGACCTTGAGTGAATTTTTCATTCCCTATTTATTCACTCAAGGTTTTATCATCAAGAGGAAGGAGAATATACGGATAAGATCAAACCTGTTAAAAGCGCACATTGGTGGATATCTTCGCTTACAAATGTCATGAAGTTATCCTCGTCCTAAAACAAAAGAGTTTTAAAATATTTCTTTTAAAAGCCAACAGCTTCCAAATCCAGGATTGTTTTTTTTACATCTATTTTAGGAGTTAGAATTGAGTGCCTCTTTGTCATGTTTAATAAATGAAAAAAATTAAAGGATGATTGTGGATGACTGGTCTCAAAGTGCTAAACAGTTCAAATTTCCTCAAACCTTCAAGTTTTGTCATCTTTCACCCCCCTTCTTTCACTGGGTAAGGTCATATTAATGATTGTAGGGAGGGAATAAAGTTTAAAGATTCTTGGTAAACTTGGCCACACAATTTAAACTGTGAATAAAATTAACACAAAGAAATAAAAAGAAAAAAGAAAAGAAGCACAAAAAACCATAGACTTAAAAGGTCATACGTGACTTTAGGGAGCGTGTTTAGGGACTTTAACTTATATACATGGTAATTTATATTTTGCTAAAATGTGAAGGAAATCTCTCAGAAAGAAGTACTAGAACCAAGCAAACTATTTTGAAATATCGTGCTTTGTTTTTCTCCTTTTCTTCCTCTGTGTCTTTCCCTTTGTTACATCAGAGCCATGTTAAACCTACTATGGAGACACACAGAGGATTTAAAACACAGGAATCCGCAGTATTATATATTATGACGTAACACAAAATACGTATCGGTGAACAAGAATTATAAAAATAAAACCTTAGTAATGATTTCGTACACACTTTTAAGTAAAACTCAGAAGAATCGTAGCCAAAATATTTTCTCAAAAAACAATACCCATACAGCCTCTCTTTCTAGACAGGGCATACTGCACACAACATCTTGGCTTTCAAATTATTTTCCAACTTCAGTGACAAGTGATTTAAACACATAATTGATTTTTACATCCAACTGACTTTGTAATTTTTTTACTGGGAAATTTATATTCTATAACATAAGCTTTATCTGAAATTAAGTAGAATAAAGTTGAGAAAAACATACGGATTCATCTTCATCACTGATTGTTCTGTCTGAAGAGTCTTCCTTTTCTGAATCTTCTGACATTTCTGGCAATACCTGGCTTGAAATGTATTGTGGAGGTAGGCTGTAAAACAATTTCTAAGGAACTTATTTGACAGCTTTCTGTTTAAGCTGACAGTGTTTCTTACATTGAACGAGTGCCCCAACCTTGGATTCAGTTGTATTTCATTAACAGTGACAACAGGCTTCTCTAAAAGCTCTATTCGGACATTCCTAATGCATGTCTAATTAGACATTCAATTTCAAAAAAAATTGAAGAAAATTTCCATTTCCAGGAAAAAGAGACAAAGTCACAATGAAAGACTAGTCAAGTAAATAACGTAACTGAAAAAGAAATTTCCAGGTTACACAGCCAAATCATTCACATCCTGTATTTCCAATACCACACAGCATTGTGTGTTCAGAATGATCCCGAGGAATTTAAAAAGATCACGGATCAAAAAAAAATTATAGTTACTCAGGCAATGAAATCTAACGATATAGTTAAAAAACTGTTCTTCTGCTTTAATTTTCGATTGATCAACAGTTCAAATGACTACAACAGACTTTTCTCTTTATATTTTGGTTACTGTTCTGTAACCAAAATATAATATTCACTTACTCTTGCTCTTACTTAAATCTCGGCTATCAGATGGTTGCATTGGTGGCGACCACCACTCCTTCCGTGCAAGCACCCTCCCAGGTAGTTAAGCCAACGGAATAACATATTCCTTGCTACGATTCTGTTATTTTTGAGAGACCCAAAGAATTGACCAATTTCGAATCGACTGGCTTACGGCTCCTCTCTACCGAGAGCAAACAACTAATGCAATAGAGATGACCCCTCCAGTATTAAGAGACTAAGGCTTCAGTCTGGGGGATCGCCACAATTCCAGATTTGGAAAACTGGGCATACATCCTGACTCTATTTCCTAACATGAACATAGGAGCACCGACGTGCTGACCTGAGTAGCGGAACACCTGAGCTTCAGGAAAGCCAGGCGCACAGATTATCTAATGGGCGCTTCCTGGGGCTCTTCCACGTCTGAAGCAGAAGAGGCAAACGCAGACGTCTGCACGCCCAGCAAGTGACTTTCACAGGGGGGAGGACTTTGAAGCCCCAAGTTGTGTCTGCAAGGCGGGCCTCCCACGCTCACTACTGGACTCGGCGGCGTGGGGAGGAGCTCATTTTCTGGGACGCGCCGTCTTTCCACGCGCGCTCGCTTCCCGCAGGGGGCGGCCCGTCTGCGGCGTCTCCTCCTCCTCCTCCTGGGCCGCCTCTGCCGGGCCCTCGCCCCCGCCCCGGCCAGTCGTCCGGTCCCTGCGGGGAGCAGCCGTCCGGCCCGTAACACCTAAGCTCCCGCGCCTGGAAGGAACGCAGGGGTAGTTCAACAGTCTCAGCCACGCCCTTCACTGAGAGGAGAGGCCCTTAGTTTCCAGGGCAACAGGGCCCTCTCGCGAGACTTCCGAGAGTTCTCGGAATCACCTAGCGACCGGCGCCGCGCCGAGGGAAGGAGCCCACGCGGGATTTGGGTCCGAAGAAGGGGAGAGCGCAGAGGCTGACGGGAACTAGGGGCTGAGGAGCAGGGGGCGGGGAGAATCCCAAGCCGGGTGCGAGAGGCGTGGTTTAAGTAACGGGGGAGATTTAGGAGCGGAGAACACCGGGCCGCGCTTATTCCCTTTGGTTCTCCACGTCGTTTGTCCTTTCTCCAAGGAGGCAGTAGAACGTACTGGTTAAGACTTGGGGCTTGTTGTCTTTGTACCCGCGCAGAGCTGCATTCTGCACGATTGTGTGACCAATGATCTTTTTTCAGGAAACGCGACTTCTCTAAATACTTGATAGACGAGTGATAGATATACTAGGGGGAACTCTAAGTTCTCATCAGCTCAGAGATTATCATAATTGTTAGCACATGTGTTGAACACTGTGGACTCTCTGAGGCGCTACGCACATCACTTTACGTGCATTGTCTTTTCTAATTAAATATGGTCTTTCCATAGCAGACTTAGGCGCTCTGGTACGCAAAAACACTTGAAGACGTTATTCCTGAAATCATCTGGATTTCTCCCTGGTCTTATCTCTGGGGGACAATTCAATGTATTTGAAACCGTTGTCCACGTGTGGCTGAAAAAAGTCTTAAGACTGGAAAAAGTATGACTCTGTCTTTTCAAGTTCTTTTGGCTGGTATATTGATTAAATTAATACGAGAAAAAGAAGTTTGATTTCTTACGCATGGGCACCTTGCATTGGCAGGTGAGGCTCCAAGACGGGCAGTTGAGGCGCACATGCCAAAGTGAACTAAGGGGAAGGTGGAGTCTGGGACTTCAAAGGGAAGGCAAACCTTTCACGGGAAGATGGGAAAAGCACATGTTTGGTAAACACATGTTTACCTGCCTGGGCCATGCAGAGAGCATGGGATACAGAGAGAAATGTGAACACCCGTGCCCGGCTAAGCCCCCTCCAGCTTACTACCCCCAGCGCATACTTTTTGTAGTTGCTTCTGGTGATCGCTGTTTTCCTGGACCAGGCACTCTATCTGAATTCTTGGAGGCAGTTGAGGAGATAAAAAGCTCTTCCTGAGTCTTCAGCTCAAAATAATCTGTATGTGAAATGGCACATTTGGTGGATGCTTGCTCTGAACCCCATCAGGTGCCTTGTTGTACCTTGTTTTAGGCCGTACATATGTCACTAAAGGAGACATGCACAGAGAATATTTAAATACGGACTCTATTTTTCTGTTGGATTTTAGAGTTCTTGTTGCAAGCCATTGGATAGCAGATATCCAATGGTGAAGAAGCCCCAAGAAATGAGGTTTACACAAGAAACTAAAGGCAGAGCAGGGACTTAGGTCTCATGATTTTTAGTCCAAATATTTACACGATCATATTTCAAGTGATCCTATAGAGAAAAATTATTTTAGCGCATACATAAGTATATAGGGATTTAAAAAACATTGCAAATCATAATAATTTATTCTTTCATTAATTCAACAAGTTTTTATTGAATGCCCAGTACTCGTCAGGGATTGTGGAAGCCTGTGGCAGGAAACCAAACAAGCATTCTTCATGGAGGTTATGGGAAAAGACAGACAAGCCAATTTAAAAAAACTAGGTGATGATAACTGTTCTGGAGAGAAAAATAGCAGGGAAAAATAAAGAGCACTGGAGTAGGGTGCTCTTGGTGGGGGTAGCTTGCTCTGTCTCTTTTGAATTTTTTTTTTAATTTTTTATTTATTCTGAGAGAGAGAGACAGCGTGAGCAGGGGACGGTTAGAGAGAGAGAGAAACACAGAATCCAAAACAGGCTCCAGGCTCCAAGCTGGCTGTCAGCACAGAGCCTGACACAGGGCTCGAACCCACCAAGTGCGAGATCATGACCTGTGCCGAAGTCTGACGCTTAACCGATTGAGCCACCCAGGTGCCCCTCGCTCTTTCTCTTTTGTAAAGTAAACTCAGCATATAACATGGGGCTCAAACTCAGGCCCATGAGATCAAGAGTCACGTGCTCTACCCACTGAGCCAGCCGGGTGTCCCAGGATAGCTCTTTTGATAGGGTGTGAGGGAAGCCTCTGTGACCAGGAGGCATTTGAGTAGAGACCAAAAGCAAAGGGATGAGCCACAGTGATGTCCAGGAAAGATCTTGCCAGGTAGGGAAAGCAGCAAGAACAAAGGCTCTGCGAGAACACCGGGCTATGAGTTACGCTAGGCAGTACTGTGTAGGTGAAACGTGGCTGGAGTCAGTATCATTATCAGGAAAGAGGTTTCATTCGGATTTCTTAAGTAAATTTTAAATGGTTTTAACTACCTGCTTTTTTTTTTTTTTTTAATGTTTATTTTTGAGAGAGAGACAGAGCACTGGTAAGGGAGGTACAGAGAGAGAGGGAGCCACAGAATCTAAAGCAGGCTCCAGGCTCTGAGCTGTCAGCACAGAGCCCAATGCAGGGCTTGAACCCACAAGCAGTGAGATCATGACCTGTGCCAAAGTCCGACGCTCAATCGACTGAGCCACCCAGGTGCCCTTACCTGCTTCTTTTTAACATTTTAAAATAAACTTTATTTCAGACGGTAGCATATAGTGAAATTCTTTAAGTTAGAGTGGAAGTAAGGCCTGGAGTAAGCTTCTACTAAGGAATTTGTATCAGTCTGAATGTTTGTTCCCCTCCCCTATGATCTTACCCAAGAAGCTCACAGGACAGACTCCTTATATGGATAACTTCGGCTTCTTGGCAAGGCCTTACTCCTGCACCAACTTCCCCTCCTATTTTCTGGTAAATGTATCTACTCTAAGCCTGTGGTATAAAAGGCAAAATAATAAGAGTAAGAAAAGAGGAAAAGAAAAACCAAAACAATACTCCAAAGAGTACAATTACTAGTGTGGGACTCAGGAGGAAAATTCTCTTTAGCAACATCCCCAAGTGCAAGTTGTGTTAGGAATGTAATATGTGTAAGTATAGCACTTTGAATTTGTTGAGCAGAGACTTAAATGCAGTGACTAGGGCAATCAGAGTTATTTATGACATCACAAGAAGTTAGTGGTTGTGTGGCTGTAGAGGTCTTGTCACAGTTTGGCCGAGGAAGCCACACTAGGTCCTGAGGGCCCTGGGCTCTCCAGTACCCATCTTGGCTTTCCTCGGATGATCTGGGTCTAGAATGTCCTGCTATAGGCCAAACTTCTCAAACTGTTTCCAAGCTCAAACCTTGAGGTCTGTCCCGGCCAATTAACTAACCAAGACTCAGCTCAAGTGTCATTCCCACAGTGAAGTCCTTTCTAATCCCTCTATGATTGGTTCAATTAGTTTGTATTATTTGTTTGTATAATGTGTCTAAATATGGGGACTACAGTGAAGCATTATTCTCCTAAACACTTGGAAATGAGGATAGGAAGAATGCCCCTTGCCTGCTCAACAAATAATGGGTAGGATGAATCACGTCAAAAGAGAAAGAATGGTTCCCATGCTCAGTGTGAAGTCTCAGGGCAAAAACCATTAAATGGTTCCCCACCCCCACTCCCACCAATAAAACGAGCCCTGAATTGTGCAACGGCGAAATCCCCTTTTCCATGGGGACGTGTTGCCACATTGCCAAACTTGCTTGCCACTTCCAGCTACTAAAACAGTTTCATTTTGGGATTTCAGATTTTATTCTGAAATTCAGTGTTAGGCATGTTTTAAATGTCAGTTTCAAACTGGAATCAAAGTCTTCCTCCTCCTCACCCCCCACCCCCAGCAGCCTAGATCTGTGCCTACCTCTGATGTCTAGGGAAGTGGGAGGGAGTTGGTGTTTTGCTATTTACATTCATCCTGGCTTCCTCCCATGTGCCAGGTCCTTGTTATGTTAGGATGAGCAGGGGCTGCGGAGGGAAAGGGCCAGTGTTCCTAACTGGGCCACACTGCAGTCCACGTGGTTGGTCTTAAGCGCTGTTCTTGCTCTTTGTGGGCTTCATGAGGCTGGGGACTCAGCCGTGCCTCCTAAAGAGAGGCTTTCTTCAAGGAACACTCCAAGGCAATAACAATCTTATGAGTGAGGGACTGTGGGGAATAGAGATTAGGAGTGTGGGCTCAGGAGCCAGCTTCCTGGGGCCACATATTCTGCCACTTAATAGCTGTATGATCTTGAGCAAATTCTTTATCTTCTCTGTGCCTCAATTTATTTACATGTAGATTAGGGATAATAAAGTATAGAAGGTCCCCTACTTATGATGGTTCGACCTACAATTTTTCAACTTTACAATGGTATGAAAACAGTATGATTTCAGTAGAAACCATACCTGGGATTTTGAATTTGAATCTTTCCTGGATTAGCCATGTGCAGGATGATCCTCCCTCATAATGCTGGGCAGTGGCAGGGAGCCTCAGCTCTCAGTCAGCCACGCAGTCCTGAGGACCAACAATCAATATACTGTCCCCATTCACCCATCTAGTTGTTCACTTTCAGTACAATAGTCAGTAAATTATGACATATCCAATGCTTTGTTATCAGATAGCCTTTGTGTTACGTAATTTGCCCAGCTGTAGGCTGATACAAATGTAGGCTTGTGTATGTTTAAGGTAGGCTAGACTAAACAATGATGTTTGATTGGGTGGGTATGTTAAATGCATTTTCAACCTAGGATATTTTCAACTTATGGTGAGCTTATTAGGATGTGACCCTATCATAAGTCAAGAGCGATCTGTAGTGCCTATTCTGCAGGGCCGTTGTGAGGCTTAGATGAGTGAATAACATGTAAAATGCTTAGAAAGTGCCTGGAACATGGTAAGGACCCAATAAATGTTAGCTGTCATTATCATTTGACCAATGGAACTCCAACGGGTGACAGTGATACCATATCACTCTGATACTTGGGCATCTGCTTGCCTTGCTGCGATGATCCCTGCGTGATGAAAGAGTGACACCACTGACCTAGCATCATCTTCACAAGCAGCTCTAGGACTGGTGGGCACATATGGGACCTCTCTGTCTTCTATTCACTGGCACAGTGCTGTCCTGTCTGGCCTGTTCTTTTCAGTTCCCCTTTCTGTGAGCTCAGGTAGCGCAGAGACAAATTAGCCGACTCCTGGCTAGGCCGCCATCCAACAGGAAACAAAATCCCAGCAGCCTCCCCTTCAGTCAGACACCTCTGGTCCTTAGTGATTCTCTTGGAAGCCTCCTCCCTCAGAAATAGCACCTTAGTTCACAGAAAATTAATGCTGCTCACAGGAGCCTCATGTTCCCATGAAGGGGACTTCTCCCTGCAAATGAGGATGCTGCCGTTCTGGCTTTAAAGAGTATACTGGGTTTCTGAGCTTGATGAATTTACTGGTACAGCCATAAAAGAGAAAAGTAGATTCCTTCTCCGGATGCTGACCAAATCTTTTTTTCAGGCTGTAAAGCTTAATAGCAGAGCTTGAATTGAAGCATGAGAATGCTGCCCAGTTAGCCTTCTTCGGAGCAGCTGGTCACCTTTGTCCCAGAAGTCCCCTTACGAGTTCTTTTTAGACAACTCTGTCCTCTGGGCCTCTGCCTTAACCTACCCCTGTCATAACGTCAACACTTTATTGCATTTAATCTATTCATTTCTGTTTCCTGCTATTTCATGTCAAAGCTCCTTCAGGGCAGGGGCTGGGCCTTTAGTTATCTTTGTATGTCTAGTGTCTAATGTTGACTGATATTTGTAGGTATTCAATAAGTATGCATAAAAATTTTGCTGAGTGTTTAGCATGTGAAAGGTACAGTGCTAAGAACAAAGGCTGCAAGGTGATGTAAGATCTGATTATTTTCAATGAGGAGAATACGCTCTGGTTGAGCCAGCAGGATCCATTTTGAGTTGGGGATTCTTCTGTTCAACTATAACACTTGGTATAAATCTCTGCTCAGGACCCACCAAACAGTAATGTCAACGTGAAGTTTTCTCTAATTATTTCTGAGTCTTTGGAAGGGAGAGTCTGAGCTTCCCTTTGCAAGGCAGTTGCCTAGTCCAGTGCCTGATGTTCACAAGGCAGGCACTCTCCAGGGGTATTAAATAGCTAACCAGAATAAAGTATTGGATAATAGTGGGTGTAGTGGGGTCATAGGTTAAGTTTTTTAGATGAAGTGGACTCAAACTTAGTTTCAGTGAACTTAGGAAGGGAAAAAAAAATAAGGCTGATATGTTAGATAAGGGACCATATGAGAACACAGATTAGAATGTACACAGTATGTCTCGTGAGGTTTGTGTAAAAATAGTTAGCAAGTCATTGGAGAACATAGGCCTGATGGGCATGAGGGATGTCAGTTTCCAGAATGTATTCTTGGGAAAATTGGAACCTGTCCAATGAAGGGGGGTGGCCTTCGGTGTGATCCACGGGACCTAAGCGGCATTAGCGGCATGTGAGAATTGTTAGAAATGCCAGTCCTCACACCTGAATCAGAAACTCGGGGGCGGCACCATCTAACGAGCCGTCCAGATGATCCTGATGTATCCTAAAGTTTGAGAGCAACTGGCATAGGGGGTGAAGAGCGTGGACTCTGGAACCAGAACACTTAGCTGGATGACCTTATGTAAGTTGTTTAACCTCCCTGGGTCTCAGTTTCCTTATAAATTGGAGACAGAAAATGGCACCTATGTTCTAAGGTTGATGTAAGGATTAAGACAGTTCATACATAGAGTGTTATATCATAGCTAGTGATCTGATTCTGTTGTTTTTAGTGACAGTCTTTGGAGCACACATTCCCACACAGAGCCTAGGGTGAGAGATCTTGCTACTTGAAATGGGTTCCCCAATGAAGCAGCTGCAGCCACTATACCATCACTGGGGAACCTATTAGAAATGCAGAATCTTAGGCCCTCCCCATTCCTATTGTAGTGGAATCTGCATTTTACAAATAGGTATTTGAATAGCAAAGCAGTATTCTATAACTTAAGCTTTAGATCTACTAAATAAGAATCTCCTGGGACTAGAACCTACATATTTCCACGATTTCTACCATTGATTCTGATGTTCACCGAGGATTTAGAAACCCTGGTGCCCTTAAGCCAGTTGATTTCCATCATTCGAAAAAACTCAAAGCACCTGTGATGCTAAACTTGGCAGGCACCAGACAGACGAAAGACAGCATTTGCTCTAAGAAAAGTAGGTTTGTGTGGAAGAATGCTAAGTAAGGCTAAAAACTAGCCAAGAAATTAATCTTGTGTTCTGTAGGACTATAGTTCTTTCACATAATTTTTATATTAGTACATTCCATGTGAGTTTATTGAATGAATGTTCTTTATCCAGCCAGAAGTGACCAGTTGGGCCTTCTACAACATATTTTAATGAGACATTTTTGGGAAATCATATTTCAATGTAGCAAAAGCCAACATCACTAAAAGCATGTCTTGGCAAAACTCTGCTATTAAATCTGCATTAGAGTAAAGTAGGAGGCCAGCTATCTTCATGGAGCTGAAATGGAGGGCTGAGATGACAAAGCAATTATAAATCTGGGAAGAAAAATGTTATTAAACAAATTAACCTCTCAGAAGTCTAAAAAGTCTACAACAAAACTTTTCAGCAGTACATCCAGAAGAGAGTTTATAAATTAGGTTGCTCATGAAATCACTGTATCACTTATCAAGCACCATTAGGTGTGGTGCACTGGGTATACTTTTGGGGGGACAAAAGAACATAAGGCAAATACTTTTTCTTCTCTGATTATGCCAGGCTGAAATATTTTCTCCCCTGTCTAAACACTGACAATCATGTACTATGTAATTCTTTGACAGTTATGTCCTAGAACCTTGTGATATTTTCTCTTAAATTCTTAATATTTTTTAACTTTTCGTATCTATCATCTATCATTTATCTCCCCACAAGAACAACACAATTGTTCCCCAAAGGTAGGAAGGTGGCAATCTGTGTAAGGACCAGGTTACTTCAAGCTCACCCTTACTTTCAGGAGGCAGTTCTCTGTAGACCCATAAGTGGGAAGCAGTTTGACAGATCCTCATCTTTGACAATATTTTTTTCCTTTAGCCCCACTGGATTGCCAAAAGTCTACCTCAGCCTTTTAGCTGCCTCTTATAGATCACTGTATGCTCTGAAGCAGAAGTAGCCCTGGCATAAAGGCAAGAGAGAAAAATTGCATCCAACAGATGGCACATACCTAAGATGCCATTTAAGTGAGAAATATCACATTAAATATAAAGGGACTAAATATTCCAGGTAAAACACAAAGATAATCAGACTAGACTAAAGACCAACCAAAATCATATGATGTTCAAGGACATGCATCTAAAACTAAAGGCTATGCAAAGGCTGAAAGTAAAGGGGTGGAAAAAGTTATGTCATGCAAGTGTTAACCAAAAGAAAGCCACTGGAGCAATATTAAGAATAGAAAAAAATAAACTTTAAGGCAAAAATCTTCACTATGCAAATAGAGTGTTACTTCATAATGTTAAAACATTCAATTAACTAGGAAGATACAATGATTCTAGATTTGCACATGCACCTAAAGCATTATTTTAAAATATGGAAAGCAAAATTAACAAAATTACAAGGAAAAAGAAAGACAAATCCATAATCATATGGAGAGATTGTCACATGCCTTTCTCAATAGCAGATATGGAACAACAAAATCAGTAAGGATATAGCTTGCTTGGACAACATGATTAATAAGCGTCACACAAATAGACATAGCACTTAAACCAAGAGCTTGTTAGGTCATTTCCTTGGTCCTATGGAAGAACATAAATTTAGGGTTATGAGAGTTTTAAAAATCCATTCTTCTACTTGGAGCACACATGCAAGCAAGAGTAGGAAAAAAAAAACCTATAACAAAGATCTGTTTCTACAACATACTCTTGTATGTATAGACTCTTTAAACTTATAACCTGAATATGCATATGGTAAAATTAAATTTCATCCATCCCTAATCCTATAGCTTGGCACCAATACCACAGATTGTATTCTTTTCATTGTTTAGTTTTGTGAATCGACTTTGATAACAATTACCTTGTTGTCTTTTTTTTTTTAAATAGTTAACACACAGTATTATATTAGTTTCAGATGTACAATATAGCGCTTCAACAATTCTATTCAACACCTGCTCCTCACATCACAATAAGTGTACACTTAGTCCCCTTCAACTATTTCACCTACGGTCCTAGCCACCTCCCCTCTGGTAACCATTAAAACTGACCACCCTTCTTGTTAGGACATAGAAGTAAAAAATACTAATTATTTTTTAAATTGCAGTAACTTAGCTAATTCTGTCCAATCTTATGGGCAAGATTTAGGGGACTGTTCAGGAGCTCTGGGCTCATAATTTAAACCTTTATGAAAAGAACCTTATATATTCCAACAGAGTTACATAAATATGGAAAATTACTATGAAAAAAGTCTTTGGATTTAAATTGTAGTTGTCAGTGCCTTGCAAATAGTAAGTATTCTGCAAATGAAGGGTATACATTAAGTGGCCATTTCTACTATAAAAGACACTACCTTTGGGGAACCAGTACTGCCACCTTAGGAACAATAGGGGTGGTGTATGACAAGATGGGGAATGAGAGATGATGGAGAAAGATTTGATCATTTTTTTGGAAGGAGAATTTTTTAAATCTCTCTTTTCAACCTTTTTTATACATGTTTGATCAGTGTCCATATCAGAGCAATTTTCACTATTTTATTATAACATTGCCACTAATAAGAATTATTTTAAAAACATGATTGGCTTTTCTTTTTTAAAGGGAGAAACTAAGACTCAATCTGAAATATGCATTTTGTGATGCCACCATCTTTGTTAAAACAGATATAACTCTCATTTGTAATCAATATAGTACATAAAAAAATAAGCAAGGCCAAGACGTTTGGAGGAATTCCATTTATTGTGGATGCATTTTCACAATATATATTTATTGCAGCGATCAATTATCAGTGAAAAGTATCAAGTGTTTATAAAATTTTTAGGAATGGCAGATTCACAGAACATGCTAGTCACCTTGCAGTCTTACCTCTTAAAGATAACAAAGAGAATTATAATCAAACAAGTAAATGAGGAATTTATTTTTCAAAAGATTAAATCCAAGCTGAACAAAGTTCTACCCTAAAACTTATTCCATCCAATATTGGAATAAAAGTCAGGATCGATATATTCTCTTCTCAACTTTAGACTTTCTAGAAAAAATATATAATAGTGATCAGGAGAGGCCCTTATTCAAAAGTACAACAAAGCAACGTTACCTCACCATTGGCCTTAATTCAAACTTTGATTCATTTCACTCCAATTATGGGAGTCGATGCTAAATTAGGCACTGCATGTGAATTCTAGTTCATTTTATCATAGACTCATGTCTACTCTGTCATAGGTGGATGGCTTGTGCAATCTTGGTGGCTTTCCTTCCTTTGGCCCAGGTGTGCTACAGCTATAGGATTCAACAACTCTTTACTGATTTATGAGGAAAATAGACTTTGAAAGGCCATGGTTACTCTTCGCGGCAGCCTTGCCCTGGCAAGCTCTTCCAGGACAATACCATAGATTAGAAAAGAGGCATTTGCGAGGCTCCCTCATTGTGGCAGGAATTGAGACTAAGACAATTTTGGTTAAGTCAAATGAGGTATAAGTTCATAGACTTACACTGTGTGTATATCTCTATGCTAGAACACATTGCGAAGACACTGGGATACTCTTTTATCATCTGTTGTGAAGAACAGATGAACACCTATAAGCTAAAATAAGATCTGATATCTAGGTTGCGTGTGTAAAATGTAAAAATGACAAGTTGATAGACTTGGGGGGAAAAGGTAAAACTAATAAAAGTTACATACAGTTTTTAAAAATTCAACACATTATCAACTGATGGCAAGTACCAATGACTAAAAAAAAAAAAAAATAGAAAAGTTTAATTTAAAAGGCATTTCAGTCTGTTAAGAATGGAAGTCCTGTCGTGACTCCTGAATATTGGCTTTTGCTCACTTTTCTTCTCTGCTTCCAGACTTTAGCCAAGGTTGGTCATAGTATATCCATATGTGGAATTCCAATCTGTACAATTTTGCAACTAAAATTCTTGTCTTTAAATTTTAGAGAAGGAAGAGATCTCAGATCTCACTTGTCACCTAAGACAACCTACTGTGGACTTGATTTTAAGAATAGAATACAGTTCTGAGCAAGCTTTGAGTTTGACCCAGATGGTAGATTTAGTACAATTCACACTGGACTTCAAGATTGCTTTTAATTATAAACTAAATACTATGTTTTATAGAAAATGTCAACTCATTTTGACACCTCTAATCTCTCTTTTCTTCTTACAGGTTATCGAGCATTGGAAACATATCAATACCTATTCTGCCATGTCTCTATTGGCAAATATGAAATATTAATATAATATTGTGATTTTTAATTTTTAAAAAGCTGTGATATTGGCTAGTTACAAGGACATACTGCTAAATATAATAGTCTAGCACATAAAAAAGCTTTCTACCATTAGTGTGCTTGTATATGTGTATGCACATACATACATGATCAGGTCATCTAAAATGTGGTTCGCTATCACTACCAAAGAAATCCACAAAGCAACCAACCTAAAGAATCAGTACCAATGTCAGCTAACATCATAATCCAATTTAGATATTCATCAGCACGAAAAAAGTAATACCTTAATAGTACATCTTTTTTTTCCTTTCTTTTTTTTTTTTTTTAAGACAATCATTATTGCAGTATCTCAAATCTGAAATGGGTTACTTTCAGAAAGTGTTACAATTGCCCACTGAGATAATTTCTTCCATGCTTTATTCTAAAGTGCAGAAACAACATGACTTCTGTATTAAAAATAAAAAAACAAACAAAACCAAACCACTACGGTTCGTTTTTCTGGACACTGCACACATTCCTCAGGCAATTTTCAACTTGAATCTCCTTGTGTTGACCTCCAATGTGGTTGGTATCACTGTTCAGACACAGAGTTGTGATGATCAGTAGGAAAGTGTCTATTTCACAGCATGGGTTTCTTTAGAAACAGGCTCCTGTGCAAAGGCAGTACTTTTACCATGAACATCTCTAGACTGTGGTTATTAAATATAGTGATAATATACATGGGTTTACTGGGATAATGAAAAATAAAACAAAGGAAATGAACTCAATTTAGTAAATCAACATAAATATAAAACAGAGCAAATTAGCCCTCTTCAACTGAGCTGGTCCAGCATCTTGAAGCGGCTACTTTGGGTTCTTCCTTGAACTGTCTCAGACCTGCTAAGAGAAGAGAGCTTTAAATCTGGAGGCCATGGTGTTTCAGCCAGATGTTTTGTGTCAGAAGAAGAAAAAAATAATTGTAATATGGCAGGAATAAATATTTACAAAAGGGAGGATTACTGCTGGAATTCTATTCAAAGATGCTCCTCATCTTCTAGCCTACCCTCTCTTATGTTGATTTTTTTTTTTTACTTTCTTCTTTCTGTTCCCCCTTCCCTATCTTGATCTTTAGCCTTGTTGGTGACATTCATAGTGAAGGAGGTTTTTTTTTTTTTTTTTTTTTATTTTTTTTTTTAAGTCCACTTGAAGGGCCATAAATCTGTAGTGTGTTTTCCAGAACAGGCAAGCACATGTGACTGAATGGCTCAGTCTTGGCCATGTCAAGGACAATGGAGAAGTGGAATGTGCTTAGTTTTTAAATTCTTCCCTTCTGTTTTTTTAAAATAATTTTTTAATGTTTATTCATTTGTGAGAGGGAGAGAAAGAGAGAGACAGGGCATGAATGGGCGAGGGGCAGAGAGAGGGAGACACAGAATCCAAAGCAGGCTCTAGGCTCTGAGCTGTCAGCACAGAGCCCAACGTGGGGCTCAAACTCATGAACCCTGAGATCATGACCTGAGCTAAAGTTGGACGTTTAACTGACTGAGCCACCCAGGCGTCCCTCTTCCCTTCTGCTCTTAACACCCCTAGCCTCGAAACTTATCTGGCCCATGGTCTTATTTGTATGCCATTTCTTTTCTTCAGCTAGCTGCTGATGTGGTCACAAATGTTGGTGCTGTGAATCTGCATTTTCAAATGAGTACTTCCATCTCAAAGGAATGATTGCATGACATGTAGTGAGCTTGACATTGGAGCAAAGGAGCTATCTACTCTGCTACCTCATAAACTCAGCTCTGGGTCTCATAGTTTTATTACTACTACTACTACTACTACTACTACTACTACTACTACAGTACAGAGAGTTTCGTGGTATAGACGGAGGAGGAGGGGGTAATGTGTGTGAAGACTCACCCTGTCACCTTCCCACCTGTACCACCATATTGCACAATCCAAGAAAGGCGTTCATGTTGTATTGGATATGAGTGGAATTCTCTTGAGTTTTACCAATCCAGATTGCATCTGCAGTCAACTTCCCAGAACCCGGCCTCAGAGAAATGTTATCCTCTGGAAAGTCTCCATTAAACCAGTACTGATGGGCTACAGACAGCTGGCACCCCCTGCCCCGCCCCCAAAATCAAACTACATACACACTTGGACCACCATTTCTGAGATGCTAGAGGGGCCGTGATGGCTTAGGCCAACAAAAGTTCATTCTTTGGCTTAAAAAAGAAACTAATAAATAATCCCCCTACTCTCCTCCACCAGGAGAAAATTGAGCAAAGAGCTTTAAAACTTTTTATTCTCTGCTAAATATGTAATCCTCAAAAGCAAGCAGCATGCATAATGGTTAAGAATGTAGGCTTAGATCAGATTGCCTGAGTTTTAATGCAGGCTTTGCTAACTAATTTGCTGTGCGGTTTTGGGAAAATTCATCTCTCTGTGCTTTGTTTTCCTCAGTTCTAAATGGAAGTAATAATAAAACCCACTTCACAGGGTAGTTGAGATAATGTAGCGTAAGATGGTAGAATAGTCCCTTGCATAGAGCGGACGCTCAAAAAGCGTTAATGGTTTGTAGTGCTGATAATTATTACTAGGTACTTCTAATATATTTAGCCATGACTTAGAAAACTTATTTAAAAACCACCTTAAGTAGAGAGACTGGGCTAGTGGATTTTATTGGGATGTAAGAGGAATCGATAACTGACCGAGAGACAGAACCACGCCGCACATTAGGCAGCTGTGCCAGACGTGGGAGCATGTAGAAGGCAGGGAAGGGAAAGCAATTCTCTCACTTGAGAAACTGTAGAAATCCTTTGGTTGCCTTTGGGGTGTTCCACATCCTGGCTTTGCTGGAAAAGTGCTTCTAAACTGACCCATAAGCAGACTGTTCTAATTTTGTTTATTAGTTACTCTCTGATTTTTCTCTTTTCAATTTTTCCTCTATTAAAAGGAGAAGACTGGGCTTGTTCCTTGAAATAGGGAAGGCTACAAGTAGAAGTTGACTTAGCTGGACAGCAAGGGGTCTTATTTTCAGTCTGTGCATCATTGAGATATTGGCAGAGCCTCCTTTGTGAGGAATGAGCATAACCTTTAACCAGAAGACAAAAAAAAAAAAAAAAAAAAAAAAACAAATCCAAGCATTCTTAGCTATAAGTTTTCAGAGGGTAGCAAGTTTTGCCTGACTTTTAAATACCATTTTAATGTTTTGCCATAGCAACCTTGGGTCGTAGGCTGCTGGCCAGGTAATAGTTCCAGAAAGCAGCTTTGGAGCCATTCAGGGAGACAGATGTTTTTCTGTAGGTGATCTTCAAATGACTATGGCTTCAGGCCTGGACTATGTAAGGAAGTATAGACCATGCTTATATGACACGGCCTCTGTAGTCAACATTCCTACCATTGTGGCATTTCTAGAATGTCTTGTTGGGACTATACCATGGATTTGGACTATTTACATTGGATGACTGACAAGCCTACAATCTGAAGGCTCTGTGAACTTTGCCTGTCACTATACCATATACAAGTGTTTAGAAGCTGACTGTTACCCAGACAAGGCTCTGTGGATCTGTGGTATTTCTCATTGACCCTGGGACATCATATTGCAGGATACAGCAGGAAAAGAACCTATAAAAAACAAATCTTCCCAGAAAATTACCTTAGTGGGAGAAGTGACTTTATCCACAGATTGCTTTTCCCAGAGGTTCCGCTTGCCAGATACATCTCCTGGCCTCAAATCCTAATGAAGGAAAAGAAGAGATAGTGGGTAGGGTGGCCATTTATATTTTCTGGCCAGGTCTAAATAATTCACCACTTCTGTTATTTGTTTGAATCAATTTCTTGCTTAATACACTTTATCCTAGTGATCTGAAATGGATGGAATCAAAAGGATCATTAGCCATGCTTTGGTCTTATATAGAACTTGATCTATGTTATGACATGAGAATGGGCTGGAATTATCCAGCATTTAGTTCCTATCCGCAACCAAGGGCTTACTGTTAATGGATCAGTAGAACTGGAATAAAAGCATATTTAAAATAATGTAGCGTATTTTTACCTTTTCATGCTTTTAGAAGTGAATAGAACATATGTTAGCCTTAAATAATTCTTTTGACGTTGCATAAGCATTTCACCTATTGCAGATTACTTTTCTTTCAGTGTTCTGCCTGTATCCCCTTGAACTCTTAGGACTTTAGTGCATACTAGCCTAACTCCGAATGCCAATATTCCATTTCTTTGCCTGAGGACATTCTCTGGCTACAGATGCCCACTTCACCCATCCAGGAGGGAGGCTGGAAGTTCAGAGAGTTAACAACCCCAGGTGCAGTCCTCAATCACTCACCGATGAGATCTGGTGCAAGAATACTTTTCAGGCTCACTCATGCCTCATGTAGGATAACTCTGAAGCATGTGTTTTATGTTGGGTTGCCCCAGTGGGATTACGTTTTTATAGCCCATGTGCTTACTAACGTTATTGGTTACCTTCTTTTCCCTGACTCACTTCCTGTAGTGTTTTCTTCACCTCCCAAGTAAACTACCTGCACTATCTTAGGGTCTGCCTCTGGGCAGCTCAAACTAAAATGCATTTTTAATTGTACTTTCCTCAGACTGAAATCATTTTGTGTTTCCTGATGAGTAAGGGGGTAATTCAGAAGTATATCAGTAGAACCTGGTCCTACAAAAGTAAACATTTACCACCAATTGTACCCATAAGAGAAAATTGAGTTGATGACATATGTGAGAACATGTGGAAATCTTGGGAAGAAAACACTAAAATACGCTTGATAACAGTAACATAGCTTTGATTTGTTATTTACTACCTCATAATTAATTTGGTTTGGAAAAGGGTCCAAATTTCTGTTTTCCATTTACTTTTCTTCCAGCGTGTGCTTGTGCTAGTACTTGGCAAAGGTAGTTTGGAGAAAAGAAATGTGTTTTACTGAAATAGTAATGTTTATTTTGGCAAACCCTTTCCTCATTAGGAAGGCGAAGCTAATAGCAATTGTATTTATCCACAGACACCAGTCTAAATGGACATAGTTTTGATAGATACTATCGAAATCTCAACACTAAAAATGCACTGGTTAAATAGTACCACGTGAAGCATTTCAGATTTACCTTAACATAACTGAGTTTCTGGATTTCCGCTGTGGTTGGGATTCCTGATATTTTAGGAGAGAGTTATACCTATTTAACTTGGAACCAGTAAGCAACAAGTCAGATTGTTTTTGAAGAATTCCACTACCTTTGCCAATGTAGGTAGGAGCTGCCAAATTGTCTGGAAGACTGAAAATCTGGGAAACTATAATTAGGAACATACTAGTGGAAGCTCTGGAAAGGGGCTGTTATTACTTTATTTATTTGATTCATATAAAACAATTGTTATTCTTTCACATGAATGTTCTTCTACTGAAGAAAGTAAAGTGTGTTTCCCTTAAATCCTGCCTATGAATCTTTTGAGAGCACTTAAAGAGTTTAAATAGTCCATTTTAAGAAAATATGAACATCCAAGTGGTAAGCTGGCATTTTAAATCAAAAGGGAAATATAAATGGAATTACCTGACCAGAATATGTTTTAGAGAAATACCCACTCCGGAAGAAGAGGGAGAAATGAAGGAGAAGCAGGTTTCCAATCAACCAGAGATCAGAGAATGAAGAAGAGAATTCAGCTGAGAAAGACATTGTTGGTTTTTTGTTTTTGTTTTTTAAAAAACAAAAAGAAAGACAAATTAGCACTTAAATTGCTGTACATAACATGTAGTTTAGACACAAAGAACAGTCAAATCAGATAAAGCAGACATACTCAGAACTGGATTCCAGTTACAAAGTTACCCTGAAATCCTGTAAATTCTATCCACAAGTAGCAGTAGATGTCCCCATAAGGTTTCAGGTATAAATCAATGTTTGATTTTGAAGAAGTTAAATTTCAGGGACCCTAAGTAATACTGATTTGACGAACTATTTTGAACAGTTTTAATTTTTAGCATATATGAATATTATTACATAACCAGTGGGTTTTCCCTTCAGGGAATTTTCGAGCATCACACTAGTCCCATGGATTTACTCTTTTCCTTCCTGAAGTTTCCCTGAGTGAGGACTGCTTTGGTGAAAGAATTTCTCTCTGATTTTTCCTTAGTGTCCAGATGCCACACATCTGCCACAACAAAGCCAGGCTTTCCTCTCCACCCATGTATATCAGGGAACATACACAAGGGGCTGAAGATAAATCACCTATGATCCCAAATCAGGAGGCACCTTTGAAGGCCTCCTATTTGCTTTGTCTTGGGTAATCCTCTGATATCCTGGGTTCAGGGTCAGGCTGACCAGAGTCCCAAGGGTATCAAACTCAGGTGCTTGCCATGAAGGGCCAGGCTGGAAACACAAATGCCTGGAGAGGCCTGATGCAGAAAAACAACAACAACAAAAGAGAACCAACAAATTCAAGATTGCCTGCCTCTACACCTCAAAAATGTGTTCAAATTGCAATTTTAAAAAGGGAAATAAAACACAATGGCCCCAAACTACACAGATCTGAGCTGCAGGCCACCAGGGTGAGACCACATGGACAAGACCTGGACAATCCTCGCTTGATCTGTCTTTCTAAGCTGCTTTCCTGGACTTAACTTTTTTTTTTTTTTTTTTTTTCTTGTGGCAAGTTTTACGCATCCACAGAATCTTTCCAGCACTTTCCGCATTTCAGAGATTTCATCTTTTTTCTCCTGGATCCATAGTGTCTCTGATTTACTTTCTTGCCTTGCTGGGCTCCGAGTCATGTCCTCCCCCAGAGACTGTCCTGTTGCTTATTCAGACTTTGACCTAGCGCTGGGTCTACTACATCAGGGACGCACACGAAGTTTAACTTTGCTTATCAGGCATACTTGAACTGGCTTTTATTTATAACATCACTTACATGTGTTTTCTTTCAATCTGACCTTCATTCAGGAAGCCACACTAGTCTACAAAATCCAATGGGACATGGGGAAAAAGGGGTCACTACAAACTATACTAATTGTTACATTCTTCTTTCCTTTTCTTCTCTGTCCTTGAAGAGATGGTCTAGCGAATTACTTACTAAATCATAGGTAAGGCAGGCAACGATTTTGTAATTTCCCTGTAATACCTTTCTGTCCTGCCTGAAAATGGGCTTTTTTTGTGGAAAACTTGACACAGTTATTATACCTGTGGCAATAATGACTAAGTTAAATCTCTTAGCCCTCCCATTAGGATGACACAGATGATGGTAGACTTATCAGTTAAGGTACTGCTAAAAGACTATGGGTCAAGTCCTGGGCCGAATACAGGAGAATAATATGGTACAGAAATGAAATAGATTGCAAATACTGTAAATGTGAAAAAGCGACCATGTGCCACACTCATCAAAGAGGAAACCATACACCTTCTCTCTCTTATCTCTTCTATCTTGTGAGATCTTCAGTGGGTTCATGAACTTGCTGAATTTGTATCAAATACATGCTTGAGGGGAGACCGTCTTAGATCTCATTAGGTTTTCAAAGGGGTCCCCAATTCAGAAAGGTTAATAATCACTGGTCTGGAACCACAAAACTTATATAAATTACCCTTTTCAAAAAGTAATTTCTACTCTCTCTCTTTTTTTTTAAGTGTTTATTTATTTTTGAGAGACAGAGAGAGACAAGAACATGAGTCAGGGAGGAGCAGAGAGAGAGGAAAACACAGAATCATAAGTGGGCTCCAGGCTCTTAGCTGTCACCACAGAGTCTGACAAGGCGGGGGGGGGCTTCAAACCCATGAACCATGAGATCATGACCTGACCTGAAGTTGGATGCTCAACTGACTGAACCATCCTGGTGTCCCAAAAAAGTAATTTCTATTCTTTATGTCACCTTGGGTACTGGAGAAATTTGAGACACTAAAGAGAACATACCTCTTGGGTATGATCTCTGACTTAACCTGTCTCCAGTTATAGATTTTTTTTTTCCAATACATAAAGACTTTCCAATTGTAACTTGGGTTTACATTAAGTCTTATATCTCCTGTGAGTCTTAATGCAAAAAGCTTGGGCTGAATACTAATTAAATGACTACAAGGAGTTGCATCCATGAAAGATATGGAAATACTTCTATTTTTTTTTCTTTTTAAGTTGGTAAAGTGATTAACTTTACTGACTTTGGAGATTAAATATGGAGCCAATGGATGCAATCAATGGTCAACAATGCAGAGACCATGATTTAGAATGTTTTTCTTCTACCTCTGGCTTAGAGTGCTTATACCAATGGAGTCTCTGTTCCCTTGGGCACCAACAAAGGTATAAAAGCAACCTAACAGAGAAAGCCCACTAATATCTGGTAGGGAGCTTAGTAAGGTTTTTGATTATAATGATAAATGCAAAGCAATTATCATTCAATGAAAAATTTAAAGGACATTTTTATAGTAAGATAGTCACTCTTAATAAGAAAATGTTAAGTTTCCAAAAATAATATTCATAACCAGTTTTTACAGTTTTCAGTTTTACTGGTTTTTTTTTTTTTTTTTTTGCTTTTTAATGGCTTCCCTTTGGAGGTATTGACAATAAAATTACAGCAATTATTTCAACAACTACCCAATTACTATATTTTTGTGTTAAGTTACAGAAATTAGGCAAATTAGAAAATATGGGCTCAAAATAGCCAACATACACATTCTTTTGGGAATAAGTCTAGGAGCGCCCTCCACAGAGAAGTGGCCTAGATAATTTGACATTTTCACTTTCAAATTCCTCGCCGTGATTTATAGAATGGAAGCTAAACAGACAGACCAGTTAAGAGTGTAAATGTGAACTGCCTGCAGCTCTGGCTTAACTGCTCCTCTTAGCAGAGTGTGGAGGTGATTATGGTTCCATTTTACCCTCTAGGTAATCAGGCTGTGGCTGCTCTGGACCATCCTTGTCCTTGGTAAATCTGAGCCCCTCCTTGTTTGTTATTTGGCAAAGAACTGGGGCGCTGTCTTTCCCAGGCAAAGACACCAACAGCCTGTTTTCTTTTGCTGCTGAAAACTGAGGAATCAAAAATTTCAGAAAAATCCAAAGCTACTTACAGAAGGCTTGGGAGCAGGCGACTTATTTCCATCTGGGGTTTTAGTTAGCCACTCATTGATGCGGCTGGAAACCCCCACCTTCAAGCCAGCAGTCTCCTACAAAGTCAATAACCCAGTATTACGGAGAGAGAGAGAGAGAGAGAAAAAAAACTTCACTTGGAAAAAGAAACTTCAAAGTAATCTCAAAAGACTATGAAGTATTCACATAACCATCACATAAGACAGATCAATTATTGATCTCTAGATTTAGTATTTTGAGTAAAAGAAACCTTAAGTTTGCTATTTAAGTCTATGTTATCTGGTTTTCTTTCTCCTGCCCCTAACCCCCCTCCCCACCTCCAGGGGCTGACGATTAATTTCAAGTACTTCATTTAGAATACTGTGGCCAGACCATTGTACATCATCTGGCCTCATGACCACATACTCTCTGAAAGAACTACATCTTCTTCACTGTTTTTATTATTAACTAGTGTGATTCCTAAAAAGAAAACAAACAAACCAACCCAAGGGAAAAAGGAAAAAAATCCAACCTCCAAAATGAAAAGACCCACATTCGGTACTTACCTTATTCGGTGTGCCCGAAACGGTGGGGGATGAAAACACATTCCCCTTCTCCCACATGCTCTTAATATTGCGGACGCCTTCAGCGGGAACAGGGAGATCCGAGGCTGCTGGCTTCATAGGTTTTGCAGTTTTTGTTCCCTGAAATGTATGAATTATTTTTAGGTTTGGTACCGATAAGTTCTATTCTCATAAAATTATATATAGTGAGCTTGTCTTCTTCAACATGATCATTTAAAAAACTCATTGTGATATTTAAAAGTATCACCTCCACCAAAAATTCTGTTGTAATTCTGTTATAATAATTCTGTCATAAAACTACATTCTGATGACATATAGACCTCAAATAAACCATGATATCTACATCAGAGGATCTTTCAAAAATGAAATTATGCCTGGGGCGCCTGGATGGCTCAGTCGGTTAAGCACTCAACTCTTGACTTTGGCTCAGGTCATGATCTCACAGTTGGTGGGTTTGAGCTCCGAGTTGGGCTCTGCACTGACAGTGCAAAGCCTGCTTGGGGTTCTCTCTCCACCTGCCCCCCCTCCCAGCCTCTCCCTTGCTTGTGCTCTCTCTTTCTCTCTCTCAAAAATAAATAAACTAAAAAAAAAAAAAAATGAAACTATGCCTTTTACTGGGACACTATTGGTTGTGAAGGGGATATTTCACTTCATTTCTTCAATAGATTCTCCTAAAGTGCTCTATGTGAGCAGGCACTGTGCTAGGCTCTGGGGATATAGTGCTACTCAAGCCAGTCTGCTCTGGAAGCTACAGTGGACTTAACACTTCAATAGGGGAGACAGATGGTAAGTAGTTATACCAGTATTTATTTCCACATTGTGATAAGTGGTATGAAAGAGGAATGTGGTGCCACAAAGCATGCCCCGAGAGCGTACGTTAGGGAATAATGCTTAGTTTAGGGAAGCAAAGAAGGCTGTTCCGAAGAAGTGACATTTAAACCGAGGTCAGATAGAAGGCTTGAAAGTGGCTAGGTGAGAAGAAGGAGCAAATGCCATTCCATGTAGAGGGAACGGCATACATGAAGGGCTGAAGGCAGGAACATCTTACGAAACTGAAAAATCAAGAGACCTCTGTGTGGAGAGAATACTGAAAGGAGGAAAGAACAGATGTAAAAATGAAAGGTGTGCATTCAAGATACGGTTCCAGCTGGGGTGATGAGCATACCCAGAGTCATGCAGTTCCTCTGGTGGTCCTGCTTTGTGGCCTGTGGCCTGTGTCGGTGGTCGGCCATGCACCGATGGTAGCAAGGGGGTACCATCAGCGGCTGGCACATAAAAATATCTCCCAGGACTGTGTAAGCTCTGAAGCCCCAGTCCTGGTATTTAATCCTAGTAGAGCCATGATCAATTCAGCCACAGAAAACAAAGAGCTGCAATTCATCTTATATTTCACTGGACAGTTAATCTTGTGAAAAATCACCTCTTGAGTGTTAGGACTTGATTATTCATTTGACAAATCATCCAGACCTCTCTCTTTCTTATTCCCTCTTATCATTTGTTTGTGAACAATTTTACAGGGATCTCCACTCTGCAGTACAAAGGACAGGAGAAAAAGCAAACCAAACTGATCCAATTACTTTATAACAAGGGTTGTGACACACGTCCGGAAGGTAAAACCATTGACTAAATGAACTACAGAAGGAGAGGACATCTTGATCAATGTGCTTCGGTACTTGGAAATATACTTTATTTCCAGACAGCATAGAACCCCCTTTGGGGGATGTGGGAAAATGTTGGAACAGAAAGAAGCATAAAACTATGGTCTTAAGAACACAAAACAATAATTTTGAAATTGATGATGATGAAACTTGGCCTGGCTCTCACTTTTATATTAACTTATAGTACTACTTTTATTTGATAATAAAAGTTTTTATAGATTAAAAAAAAAAAGATGAACCAAGGTTGTAACTGTTGAAACTACATGTGGGAACACATTTTGCAAGTAACTAAGGATACTGAGATATACTTATGGACATACAAGTAATATAGTTCAATACCAATAAGCCAGTTCATTAAAACTTCAGGAACAGCTTCAGGAAAGAATACTCTGGCTGAAAGGAGAAAACAATTTATTTATGATTTATCTCTATTACTGTTCTTCTGTATAGCTAGCTCAAAGTACAATAAAGCACCACTAATATTATAACATAGTATTGTGGTTGTTGGACTTGACTACTGTCCTAAGTACGCTTCTATGGTCATCCATCAACAGAGTCTGCCTTTGACTCAGGCTGTCTCTCACCTCAATTGCGCTGGTGTACTGCTCCAGTCTGCTGTCAATCTTTGAGACAACTGCTGCTTGGTGAGTTGATTTGACACCACTGCTAAGTGAATAAACACACACACATACATAAAAATACAAGAGAGAATCTTTCCTTACATATATGACAGCTGATGATTCTCATTGAACAACCAACCACATTTACCTTTTCTGCACAGACTTATTCAAAAATTCTGCTCGCTCTTCTATCTAGGAATTGAAAAAAAAAAAAAACAACCCAGTTAATATCTGCAGCTTCTAAACAATGCTTCTCAGTTCATGCCACTTGGTGAGTAAAAGCTCCGGTGAGCGTGCGGGGGTCATAGGGTGCTGTGCCCAGCAACTCTGCTGCATGGAGGTATTTGGGGGTACTTATGAGGTATTTGAGGGTGAGATTTGGAGGGGAAAAAGGTAGGACTGGGCATATGATAGAGAAAGTGTGGAGAAATACAAAGTTCTAGAGGCAAATTAAAGACCAGTCAGAAGTGGAATAACAAAGCCTCGGAAACAATGTTAAATCAGTGGCAAAATAATTATGTTTCAAGACAAAAAATTTTGTTTTCAAAAGCACCTGCTATTACCCTTCAGGATGTATTTATATGAGTACATATATACCATGTTATTTGATGAGCAAAATTTTCCCACGATATTTTAACACACATTAAGTGTGTAATTGGATCGGATAAGAAAGGTAACTAGGAACTACGAGCTATTCACTTACTGCTTAGCCTGGCTTCTTAACTTGACAGCTGTTGAGCCTACTGCTGAGCCTAGTTTGTCTTGAATATAGAAAATGGGGATGGGGGTGGATTGAGACTGGGGCACAACTCCTCAGGGCTGAGGCCTCTCATGAAACCCGTTAGCCCAAGTGGGAATTATGGAAATAAGCCCGGAAAAACTGACAAAATGGTAAGTTCAGGAGTCTTTAACAAATTTCTTTTCCTCTTTAAAGCTAGGAAATTCCTTTTGCTAGAACTAAAGCCACTTATCAAACATGATAGTTTACTGAAACTGTATCATCACATCAGATGTTCTCTGCAAGTCAGCGAGTATCTGTTGACTTCCTATGATACCCAACTCCAGGGTGGAAATATCCTCTGTCATTTACCACCTAACAAAGTCAGCACATGATAAAACCTTTGTCTATGACTGCCTGTGCCAAAGCACACATGTGCTGAAGGAGTCCATTTTCTGCCCTGTTCAGGATGGCCAAGGAATCAGCTAGATTTCAGTTACCCTAGACTGGTGTGGTTGAGTGTGCCTTAGAGTCTTCTGAGATGTTAGCAGCTCTTTCTGGCCTGGACTGTCCTGGGACTCATGCACTATTAATAAACACCCTTAGGCTTTTTTGGAAAACATGCTTCACTCCTATTATCAATTGAATAACATTTTTATATGGTTAGTGGGGGTATCTCATTCTTTCCAATGATTTCTCTTAAGGATGAAAGCAAACTCATTAAAAATAAAACTTGATGCAAAAAAAGTGCCATTAGTAGCCCTGAATTTGTAGGATGCAAAGTGTCTCAAATCTTATTTTCCTGATTTTAATATAAACTTAGAAGTGCACCCCTAGATAAAAAGTTCCCAGTTGAATAGGTGAAATATATTGAAACCATGCAATGCACTGGCACTTTTAATATCCATCCATCCATCCATCCATCCACCCACCCATCCATCTATCATTCATCCATTCTCCCTCCATCTATCCATCATCTATCCATCCATCCATCCATCCATCCATCCATCCATCCATCCATATTTTAACCCAACCAGCCTGTCAGTTAAACAACTAACCAATAAGTTATATATTGAGTACCCATTCTATAAAATTAAACACTCAACAGTATATGAGACAGTGCCCCATTCTTTAAGGAGAACACAGTCAGTAGGGAAGGCTAATAGAACATACAAACAAAATACTTAACATTCAATGATATGTATCATACTAAAGATAAGAAGAAAATGTTGGGGCCATGGGAGAAGTGAGTCTCTGGGGTTAGTGGAGAAGTAGTTTTGATTTGGAGGTGAGATTTCTAGTTTATAGTTTACACAGTTTTATCAATGAATTTATGGAAGTGAGGGTACACGAGGTACAGGGGACAGGACATTTGTCGGGGAGCAAACCAATGCACAAAGATTTGGGTGACACTCACAAGGCAGGGGGCGGGGATGCAGGAATGAAACACACAGTGAAGGCCGGAGGCATGAGCAGGGGGCAGCAGAGGTGAGGCTTGTTTGTAGCACTTCTAGCGTCCTTGCAACTCGGGGATGAGCTTGCTAACCTCGGCTATCCCATTAATTCAAATTACAGAGATTCTCAGATGCCAACATCTCCTTTTGTATCTACACTATTTAATACAGCTTGACTTCATTATCACATTTTGTCAGGGCTAACCATCCACTTATGGATGCACTCCTATTGGAAAATTCCTTAACTTAGTCAATCTAGATAATGTAACAATGTGTACTGGATTTCACACATTTCTGTAGTTCAATGACAGGAGTTGGTTCTTCTGAAGACCGATAGGTGGCAGTGTTGTCCTGATGAAACTCGGGGAGAAAAGCATGCTACTTATTTTCGAAAATTGGCTCTCTCCTTCCTCTACACCCCTTCCGTGGCCAAAATATGGAAACAACAACAATAAAAACCCACTTTTAAATTTAATTTACTTAAAATCTGTTCTGTGCATGGATTACGTAAGAAAAATCATTCACTGCTAACAAAATTTAACTGTGAGAAACCAGGTTCAGAGTTTCCCTGACAAGGGAATAGAAGGAATCATGAGAACTTAACAAAATACATGAGTTGATAATATTTTGAGGTCAAATAGCAAATGTTTCCCTTGCACTGGCATGCTACAATGTTAACTTATGACCACTTATAAAAGTCGCAGGGCCAAGAGTGGCAACAATGGTAGGAATTCAATCATAGAATATGAACTTGAACTCCAAAAAGAGCCACAGCAATCTTCAAGGCACATATTATGGAGAAAAGCAATAGATTGTCTGTTCCTGAAAGCCTGTCTCTGTTATATAGAAATTAAAAATGTTTTGTTTCTTTTTAACATAAATACTTTGATTGCTCACACATGCTTCTCCAGAGGAGGGAGCAGATGAATGGCTTCCTGGGAACAATATGAAATGGGAAGCCAGGAGTCTGGTTGAGGAAAAGACCAGAGAGGTTAAGTAAGTTGAAGAATTTAGTTCAGAGGAGACATTTGAAGAAGAAAAGGAGGATGGGCTGTAGTTTCTCTTGAGAAGAATAGAAATTAGAAGTATACATGTCCCTCTACTCTCTTCATGTTACCAAGACTGTTCAGGAAAAGTTTAGCTTGGGTGAGATTTCAAGGAAGGTAGAAAGATCTTTGCTTATTGATGAGGCAGAAACACAATGACACAGACATGGAACAGAACAAACTCTGGTCACTGCACGGAGATAGCCTGAACCAAGTGGGTGTGTGTGTGTGTGTGTGTGCATTTTGTTTTGCCTTTCTGTTCTTTCTCCTATACTGGGGATCTGCAAACTATGACCCATGTGCCCATAGATCTTATGTAGGCCATATGACAGCAGCATGGAGCCCGCTGTCAGCGCAGAGCCCAAACTCACAAACGGTGAGATCATGACCTGAGCCGAAATCAAGAGTCAGATACTTAACCGATTGAGCCACCCAGGCACCCCTGAAATCCAAAATTCAGTGTGCATAAACTCATCTATATTCTACAAAGCTTCCCTCTACTCATTTCGTTCGGTGCTAAGATCTCACTGTGCTGGCAGCCTGCGCTTGGTTACCTGGTAATTCTTAGATGCCCCAGAGCAGTTGACTGTGTTAATGCCATAAGGGCAGCGACCTTGCTTTGTACTTCTTTCCCTCAGAGCACCTAGTACACATTGTGTACGTTATAAATAGCAAGTATTAAACAACAAAATCCCCCAGTGGCTTAGTTCAGATTCCCCCTGAAGCAGATCTTGAAACAGAGGGTTTGAGTATAAGGAGTTTGATAGGGAGGTATGAGAGTATGACTGGGGCCCAGATGATCATAAAGACTGGGTGAAGTCTGGGGCTCAGTCGGTTAAGTGGCCAGCTTCGGCTCAGGTCACGATCTCACAATTCGTGAGATTGAGCCCCGCATCGGGCTCTGTGCTGACAGCTCAGAGCCTGAAGCCTGCTTCCGATTCTGTGTCTCCTTCTCTCTCTGACCCTCCCCCGCTCATGCTCTGTTTCTCTCTGTCTCAATAATAAATAAAACATAAAAAAAAAAAAAAAGACTGGGTGAAGTTCCTTAGGGATCAAACATGCTAACTTTCCTGTGAAACAGGTGATCACTATAAAATGTAAGTAACTGGCTTTTGGGCACTTTAGTGGCCACATGAGATGACCTCACACACACAGTAATTGACACACACACGCACATACTTAACCAGCTGGAGCCTGGCTATGAGTCTGCACTGGTTTTGCCCATCATCAATGTTTGGTAGTCTTCCTACATTGATGGGAACTGAAGGTGAAGTGAAAGTGTTAAATGTTCCAATCTCTGAAGATGCATTTATTCATTCAACAAATATTTATTGACTATGTTCACTATGCCAGGTGCTCAATAAATGTTAACTCTCAAAACCAAAAAAAAAAAAAAAAAAAAGGAAAATAATGGCAGATAGAATATAAGTAATAGGTGGCACTTTCTTGCTTCTGTTCTCTTTGCTCTGCAAGTCAACCTTTCTATCACGTCCTTGACTGCGCTCCCTCCTGCTCATTCTTTTTTCTCCTGACAGTACTTCTGTCTTCCGTCAAGTGGGAGCTGTGCTCCTTGAAGGCAGCGATGCGACCAGACTCATCCTGGCAAAGGACCCTGTCCAAGGCACTTCATCTCCTGTGATAACGGCTTTCACATTTGACCAGTACCATTTCCAGCTGGCCTACTTTTAATAATGACAAATTAACCATGAAAAGCAGCCTTTATAATATGGTTGCCCACTTTGTGAACTTTAAGTGTTTCCATTTTCGATTGCTCAAAGCAGTGAGGCCTCTGGAGGGCATGGGTCAGTGAAATCGAGAGATAATTGCTGAATGTCACTTAAACACACACCAAAGCATCTAATAAACAACAGACACCGGTTTCTCCACTTTACTTCTCTCCTTCCCTCATGTTCCTGACAATGGTAAGCTGTGAAAGGGCTGAAAGAAGGAGCAGAAAGGTCAGTGAAGTAGAGGCTCTGCATGACGAAGAGCCAAATAAGGGGCTACGATCAGGTTTCCATCACATTACGACAGAGGTGTGATGAGAAGTCTTTCTGGGAGGAAAAAGTACCTTGAGAGATGAACCTTTAGGGGTGAAGCACTTGAATGGCTTCTTGTCATCTGATAAGCTGTCTTCGGGCAGCTTCTGACGTTTCTCAGCAGCTTCTGCCCTCCGCTTTTCGATCTCTTCCCTTAGCCTCCTCTTCTCTTCCTGAGACAGAAGAGTAACAAGAAGCCTGATACCAGCTTCCAGCCAGAAGGAAAGAACGCTGCGGGAGAAGGAGCACTGGCCCCACAGGAGAAAGAGCAGGTTCTGGATTGCACGCCACCCCTCCTCCAGGGCGGTCACCAGAGGTGAAGCCTGAGCCCGTGAGTCCATCTGCCAGATACTCTGGTGTGGCCACTTCCCAACTGTGTGACCTCAGCCACGTCACTCATCTGTTCTATGCCTCGGTTTTTCATCTGTAAGATGGGGATAATGACAGCTTTAACGAGGGCTAAATGAGAAAGCCCGTGTAAAATTCCTAGGATCACTGTGAAGCTGGTCCTTATCAGGGCATTTACCACTGACCATTCATTTCTGTAGATGTAAAATGAATATAAACGTCCCTTCTGCCTCCTTCTGAGGAGAGTTGTAAAGGCAGATGAAATAACCAGCGTGCAAAGTTTATGTTAAATCTATGGTATTATGGTCACCAAACTGTACAAGAGGTAATTTTATGGTTGTGCCCACCTCCACAGAGTAGATTATTTTAGATGGTTTGACAAACCTGAAATATGTAGATGCTGCACCAAAGCAGTCACAGATGCTCACAGTATGTGTCATACTAGCCTCTCTGTGCCTTCATTACTGGTCTACAATACCCTCCTCTGTCTCCTCTCTCAGGCAAAACATTCAGAGAGCTCTGATCCAGCTGCACATCCTCTGTGAATGGCTGACTGAGAGATTTGTGTAGTTTTTTGTAGTTTTCGAACTGTAGGTTCTCAAGCAGAGACAGGATGTTCAGCTGCCAGAGGATGTGGCAGAAGGATTCTCTGTGTTATGGGCTAAAAGTCTGAGGTCCCCCCACTCCTGCACCGCCATTCATACATTAACGTCCTAACCCCCAGAGTGATGGTTTTAGGAGGTGGGGCTTCAGGAGGTGATTGGATGCTGAGAGTGAAGTCTTCATAAATGGCACTGGTGCCCATCTAAAAGAGGCCCCAGACAGTTCTCTTTCCCCTTGTGCCAAGCGAGGACACAGCGGGAAGACCGCGGATCTTGAACTCTCCAACCTCCAGAACTGTGAGAAATAAATCTCTGTCGTTTGTAGGCCACACAATCTGTGGCTGTGGCTCCACTGACTAAGAGACTATTTGGTAGGAGGTTAGACCAAATTATCTCCTCGGTCCAATCCACTTCTAAGAGTTAGTATTTCTCTTCTGCCTTTATTGATACTCTGCTCCCCGAAATGACAATAATAACAATGTTAACAATAATCATAACTAGCAGGCACCACAAATACAATGATCTATTTGATCTGATCATGGCATCAATCCTATAACTAGACATTATTTCTCAGGTGAGGAAAAGAAGTTTTAGCCCAGTCCCGGAACTCTGCCAAGGTCCCAGGCTGAAAGTGGCAAAAAATACAAGCCCAGGTATGTTTGATTCTAAAGCACTATCATCCCAATTACTTCTCAACCAAAGGCAAGTGGCTCATTGAGAGCTGGATCTGGAAGATATCTTGGAATAATGTATCCAAACTTTCCACACAGGTTAGATGTCAGAAAGCCATCTGCTGTCTGTGTGCATAGTCTGACTGACAGAAGGTCAATATTTCCTAAGATTAGAGGGCAAGCTCATTTGGAGAATCAAGGTCTCAATACTGATTCTACCACTTGGTAGTCAAGTAACTCACATAAGTCACTCAAATAATTTGATTCCCTTTTCTTTGCCCATAAAATGAGAATAAGGATGTGCCTCAGGATGAAAGGAAAGAATGCACCTTGTAAACTTGTAGTTAGTTAAGCTCTTTTTCAGTTTTCAAAATTTGCCTTCTTGTAACTTTATCTGTTGTTTTCAGTTCTGCCTTAAAAGACATAACACATTCATCTGTTCATAATTACCCGGCTCCTACTACATGCCTGGCACTGTGTTGCGTCCTGGGTTTACAGTAACGAACAAAGCAGATGCTGTCCTTGCTTCTGACTACTTCGTCTCCTTACTCTTCCATTAAAAAAAGGAAAGCCACTTAAAAAAATCTTCTCTATAGAAACCCTTCCAATATCAGAAAGCAACTAGCCCATGACTCTTGGGTCTTATAACGAATCTGCAGACCTTTCATCCTTCTCTGCCTGCCATTCTTTATTGAGAGACAGTAGAGGGTTAAGGTAAATGGGACCATGGGAAAATGATAAAAATCACTCTGTGCCTCGATTTCCTCATCTGAAAACTGGGGTGGGGTAAGAAGACTAGTCACATCATAAAGTTCTTATAATTGGATGGAAATTACTATGTGTAAAGGGTTTAGAACTGTGCCTAATGCACAGTGAGTTTGTTATTCTTAAAATGTGTTTGTAAGAGTCCGTGCAGCAGCATTCCACCAGCAAAAACATTATCCCCGGGGCTTGAGTAAGCTGCCCCGCCTTACCTCCTCTCTGACTTTTCTCTCTGCTTCCTCCTGCTTCCGCCTCTGCTCTTCCTCTTCCAGGACCTTCCTTCGCTCCTCCCGCTTTTTCTTCAGCTCCTCCAGCTCCAGGGCCGCCTCCTGCTGCTTCTGTTTGAGCTTCTCGAACTCCTCGCTCTCAGTTTCCCCGCGGCGGCGGCGAAGCTCCTCCAGGCGCTTGCCGGCTTCCACCTGCGAAGCGCCTTCGGCCTCCTTGGCCTCGCTAGCCCTCGCTCCTGCTCCGGGGCGGCTGTCCGGAAATGCAAAGGAGTTTGACAAGTGTCAGTCCGAAGGCCTCCCCAGAGGGAGGGAGGGAGGGATGTCGGTCTGCAGGCTTTGCATCCCAGACCAGGAGAAATCTCCACGGCCTGTGGTTAGACAGTGGATGTTCACACCCGCCCAAGGGGTAGGTTGGGGTCTGCCTGCAATCTCAAGATCTGAATCTGATCCCTCTCTACCACTTACCCCTGTGTCCTAGTTATACAATGGAGCAAACAGACACTGTTGGTGGGAAAATGGCAAATGGAAAGTGGATAAAACAGCCCAACCGCTATGGGAAACAGTAGGAAGGTCCCTTAAAAACGGAACAGTAAAACTATCATATGCTCCAACAATCCCATTTCTGGGTATATACCCAAAATATCTTAAAAAGATCTCGCATACCCTTGTTCATAGCAGTATTCATCACAACAGCCAAGAGGTAGGAGCAACCCACATGTCCATCAACAAATAAATAAAACCAGAAAGTAGTGCATACATACAGTGTAATATTATTCAGCCTTAAAAGTAAGGAAATACTGTCCTATGCTATAACATGGATGAACCTTAAGGGTATTATGCTACGTGAAATAAACCAGTCCCCAAAAGACAAATACTACATAATTCTACTTATGTGAGTTATCTAAAGTAGTCAGTTCAAGGAAAGAGAAAGTAGAATGGTGCTTACCAGTGGCTGTGGGGAAGGGAAGTGGGGAGTTATTTAATGGGTGTAGAGTTTCAGGTCTGCAAGATGAGAAAGTTCTGGAGATGTTTCACAATATTGTGAATGTACTTAACACTACTGAGTTGTACTCTTAAAAATGGTAAAGATGGTGGAGCGCCTGGGTGGCTCAGTCAGTTAAGCTATTGATTCTTGATTTCTGCTCAGGTCATGATCTCATGGTTCTTGAGTTCAAGCCCTGCATTTGGGCTCTCTGCTGTCAGGGAGGAACCTGGTTGGGATTATCTCTCACCTGTCTCTGCACCTCTCTCACTCACACACTTTCTCAAAACTAAACATTAAAAGCAATAAAATGCACTTCAGAACTGCTATTCTTAGTGTTTTTCCATAAATCATATGTAAAAAAGGAGAGAGATCATTAGCCCCAACTGACTCTGAGATCCTTTAATAAATTTGCTATCTAATAGAGTTATGACATTGATAATTGTCTCAAAACATGTCGGTCATGACAGAAGAACCGCAGCAGAGAGCCGTGTTTTAGTGACAGCAAAATTCAGGTAAGCTGGATCCTCTGGGCACTTTATTTAGGAGAATTTAGTGCTGTGCCCAAAAGTGTGCCTAGTTACAGAGAGTCCTTAACTAAGAGACAAAGTACGTAGCTTGCCAGCCACTTAAGTACTTATTAACAGGCAGTGAGGTCATGCTTAACGAGCTCTGAACACAGGGAGCCCATCCCTAACACTTTGTCTAAGGAATGGGTGAATTACCCCTGTCTGATATAATTTATTCCACATAGAGAAGGGCTCGGTGTTTCTAGCTATGGTGTAAGAAGAAGAATAAAACAGAAAATAAGTTCAAGATGACATAATTACCAACACTGATCTTATGTGTACAACTTCTGCTTTTAAAACACTGAGGTAGTTCTGAGCATGCTATGTCCTTTCTAACCTCTCAAGCTGAAGGATGGAAAATCAATGTTGTAGAAGAGAATCAGGATTAAAAATAATAAAGAACAAAACTAAAAACATCAAAGTGCATTGCATAGAGCAAGGGAAATCACCATTTCTTGACATGCTTGTTTTGGTTTTAAGTATACACATAGCTTTTATTGGGTCATGATGTAAAATTTATTTCTTACTAAGAGTTTAGGTTAAAAAGTTTTTAACCTGCTGTTCTAGGTTCTTGAGAGTTAAAGATGTACTCTTTTATTTTGAACTCAAACAAAGGTTAGAGGGTCCCTTAAAACTTGATGTTGTTCTTTTCAGAGTCTTATAGGTTCCTAGGTCTGTGACTTAGAAATCTCCCCTCTCAGTTAATTCCAGGTCTTTCCATCTTCAGAAATGAGTTTGCTCTGCGTTCATCATGTTAGTGCACATGAGCTGGGATCTGCAGAACACAAGCCTATAGAAACTTCTCTGGATTCCACTAGGTGTCGCTCAGTATTCATTCTGGACAATCAAAATATCCATCATTAGGGACTGTTTCAATAAATCATGGCACATCCATCTGGTGGGATACTCTAGCGTTATTAATTGTAAGTTCATATTCATTGGTACAGAAAGGTAGCGATGATAAACTGTCATGTACAGTGCAGGAATCAATGGAAAAACATATTTATAATTAGACTCATATATATATACACTATATATGTCTATTTTGAATATATACACAGAAAATATCTGGAAAAAATGTTACTGGTAGTTGGTTGGTACTTATTTTTGTACTTCTATTTTCTGAATGTTTCTGAAAGACAATAAGTATCTTTTTTCCTATAATTAGAAAAACTTTAATTACCATGTTAAAAATAGAGGGAAAACAAAACAAATGCTCGTTTTGAACTTTCTATAAACCCTTAGTATAATCTCCTATTTCTATACCTTGCTCATTGAGTTGATATATATTTTTTTAATGTCATGTTTTAGAGAAAACAATCTAGTCAAGAAAATAGGACATCAAAGGGGGCAGTAATTAAATCAAGCATAGCTATGTTCAAAACAGGAGCAAGAGTTTTGTTCACGTCAGCTCTACTTAGATGTACCAGCATGCCCTCAGCACTAGGGTGTCACTAACATGGAAATTTCTTCCAGAAGTTCTCTTCTCTCTCCTTGGTTCCTTTATTTAAAAAAAAATTTGTTAATGCTTATTTATTTTTGAGAGAGACAGCATGAGCCGAGGAGGGCAGAGACAGGGAGACACAGAATCCAAAGTAGGCTCCAGGCTCTGAACCGTCGGCACAGAGCCTGACACGGGGCTCAAACTCACAAACTGCGAGATCATGACGTGAGCTGAAGTCCAATGTTTAACTGACTGAGCCACCTAGGGGCCTCCTCCATGGTTCCTTTAGGTGTAAATCTAGATGTACATCAAACCTTTCCCCATGAACACAGCTTGTTTTCAGTTAGGCTAGTGGACACTTGGCTAATCTAACTAGAGGCTCCTACTTCTTTCCTTGGATAGCTCCTCACATTATAAGTAGATACAGCAAAACCAGACGTCTTTGCTTCCATTGGCATCAACTTTGAACTGAAACTAAAACGAACCCATATTGGCAGCTAAACAAGAATGCTATGGCGGCAGCATGTTTCTGTCATTGCTTTCTGCCCAAAGATGGAACAATTAAGACAGAGTCCCATTTAAGAATTCTCAGTGCTACACCTATTGCCATCCTTTTTCTCTTTGAATTCCCAGCTCTCTGGATTGCCACACAATGGGTGTGTTAATTATTAATTTGAGCTTTGACTAAAGCTGGTTGGCAAGTTTGCTAATTGTTAACCAAACTTCTATCTACTTACAGATTTTTTAAAAAAACATTATTTTTGTTTAAAAAAATATACTCATACCCACAGAGCAGATTTTAAACTATCAAATAATAAGACAGTAATACTGTTAGGCAATATTCTTGGATACTTTTCATGAACCTGACACTCTTCTATAGGGCTTTGAAATATTAAACCACTGGCGCTTCAGCAAGCTTTGGCCTCAACTTACTAGCCTGAATCAACTTGATTTCTAGATTTTCTATGAGTTCTAAATGGACTCTTAATTTTTCTACTGAAAGTCCACTTTCTTGCCAATACCAAGTAACACCTATAGGTCTTACACATCCCAGTCCTTCACACTTTATTGAGACTGTTTATGCACACATTCTTCTGCAGGCTCTCCCTTGGATAAAGGCAACTACCTTTCTGCTCAAATTTGTATATACAAAAATTATTCGGGAGCAGGCTAAATCCCCCATTTTAGCCTGCTCATAAGGGTAAAGCCCTACTCGACCTGCTCACTTCTGAATGCTACAGAGGCCTTGGCGTAAGGAGTATGTCCAGCTTCTACACAATACCTGCTTGAGGACTTTCTTATTTGAAGTGTTCAGAAAAACAGGGTCTACACGTAAGACTGCTGCTTAAGAGCCACCTCAGGGGAATCCACGTTTCAGGGATGCAAGACTCTTCTAGAACGTTAGGTACAGCAGCCAGTGACATAACAGAGGTAGGAATTTGGCACCAGTGGTTGGAAGGGGTGTGAGTGTAGGACTGGGGCATGGAGAATCATGTAGCCAGGTGTCTGTAGTAGGTTTCTATAACATGAGTCCATCTGCAAAACTGGTAAGGAGCTCTCAGTATTCGATGTATCTAGAAGTAAGGATTTACCTGCACGGACCAGTCTATCTGACCTAAAATCAATTCTCCAGGTTTTAAAGGTGATGTGGGTGGAGGGTGGGGCGAGAAGGGGAAGGTGAAGTTATGCAAGACGGTTTTCTAAAGGGTCTTAAATGGAGCATGAGTCCTGTGCCCTATTCCTCCCTCTCTGAGATTCCCAATGCAAATTAACATCAATCACTCTCAAAGTCCTGCACTAAAGAGATATGATTAATTTAGTTTAACATAACATTTCCCAAGTATTTGGCCAAAGGACGATCTTAGTTTTAAGCAACGTTTATTTATAATCTTTTTTAAAAAAGCATTCTTGAAAATGGTACTGACAAGGGTCTTTTATGAAACTGACTGGGCCATAATAGAGAATCAATGACATTAACCCCAGTCATAATGTTTTCTAATAAACTGGGCTTATATAACGTATTAAGTCAGGGAACAGAAACATGGATCCTAAGCATGATCTGTCTTGCTAAATAATGAGAAAAGCAGATTAAACCTTGTCTGAGCAATGACTACTGGTCTTCTGTTAGTGACTGATAGCCTGACCTGCTGACTGAGTATCTCTAAGACAATGGCCAATGACTTCACAACAGAAATATGTTGCCTGTTTAGCACGTTTCTGTCTGGAGGCACAGGATAGGGAGACTTTTATTTTTTCTTCACATGTGAACACAGCCATTGTTAAGTAGTCTCTGTTTCTTACCTGAAAGCATTCTCAGCGTGTTTCAGTTTGTGGGTCATGAATTCTCCATTCTGTGACTTCACTTCTGTAAATCCCTTCTTTCCCTCCAAGAAGCTCTTCACTTCTTTGGGCTCTTTGTCCTTTTTCATCTTCTCATCTTTGATCTAACCAACAGTACATATCAGGAAGAAACATAATGATAAAAACCCTATTAGGTTTTGGTGGGTATCATGAAATAAGACCCAGAATTATTAGGAAGCCAGAAAACTCAGAAGTAAAACAAACCACTGGATAATGATGTGGTACAGCTAGGGTCAGAGGAAATTCTTAGAGTGTGAGCTATGGTCCTCCAGCCTCTGCAAAGACCTTGACCACAATTTTAGGAAGTCAAGATCATCCCTGATTTCACTGGGGTTTGATTTTCAAGAGCAGTAGAGGTGTTGCTGTTTGGAAACAATTATGTTCCGGGAATGCTGTGCCAAAGTAGTTGTTTGCAGTTCCCATTGAAAAGGGTGATCATTAGTGTGGCATTGATGGGAGAATGTCTAGGTTGGCTGGACTGTTTTTTTCTTGGATGAAAAGTGTCTTTGAAAAGGACACAAATATGTTGAGGAGGAAAAAACCTAACAAGTCGGCCAGATCTGCCAAGCCAATTTTGGCAGATGTCTGAGGAAGCTCACCCTTATAATGAGTAACTAGGGTCCTCAGGACAGAAGACAAAATAACCTTAGCTTTAGTGGGACGGCTCAGAGGCCTGTGGGACCATGTCTGTAGTCATCGAAATCACTACAGTTCAAATGGAATAGGAAAAACTCCAGGGTTTTTACCTTGACTTCCATTGCAGGTAATAGTTTAGTTTCCAGAAGTGGTTTTGTGATTGCTGAGGAGACAGAGGAAGGTGATACATGGACAGCAGGTGTTCGCTTTAATTTTTTGTGAGTTTTGTGTTACAAGTTCCTCATGGTAAATGAGACACATTATTTCAAAGTAAAAGAATTTACATAGCTTGCTGGGAGTTTAGATTACTTGTATTGTTCACCCATTCTTAAAGGATGAGGGTGAAAATGGGGGTGGGGCGTTCATTATTGCTCTTTTCAAGAGAAACAATGACAAAACACTAACATTCTGAAGCAAGCAACAAAGGAAGGGTAGGCAAAGTTAGGCCTTCAGATGCCGTCCAGAATCAGAATGGCTTCCCCTTACCCGATCACTCACCCCTTTCCAGCTATTCCTCAGATATTCTCTGAACACTTACTCCTAAAGTACATGTTTTACTAAGCATGGCACTTCTTTCTTCCTTCCTTCCTTCCTTTCTTTCTTTCTGTCTGTCTGTCTTTTTTTCTTTTTCCTGTTACTGATGAGCCTTGAGTAGTCCTTTGCCTGACTGCTTTCTTTGGGTGGTATATGATTAAACTACCACAGACGGACTATTCACTACCATGTTGTCTTAACTAGTTAAGACTTAGATCTTTCTCCAAGGGGTATACACCTAGGCTATCCCTTGGACATGCTGCAAAAGGAGACTGTTGTTCTGCCACTCTGAGAGCTTTGTCTGGAAGTCAGGAAATGAGTTTTGTTCCAGTGCTATCAACAGACTAGCTAAAATCAAGTCACCTAATTTCTCTGGGATGTTGGCTCCACATACATAAAAGAGGTTGGGCCAGAGGATTCCTTCCTGATCCTTCACTGTGTCATTTCTCTCTTGACTCCTGATTTGTTGTGAGAGGCTACAGAGAAGAGAGGGAAGCTCTGGCCTGTCCTACTTGATTGCATCTCCTTGGTGGCTGTTCTCGCCCAATAAAACTCAGTGTTCATCAACCGGCAGGAATAGGCAATGTCTATTCTCAACTTGAGCTACCAATGCCAGAGATTGCCCCAGACACCAGGGACTGGAGTTTATATTCTGGTTAAGAAGTATCTAGGGATACAAATTTGGGAGCAAGGGGTATCCCATTTCAGGCAACCCATGAAACACATTCTGAGTCAAATCTCATGGTTTGTGGAGCACTGTGCAAGGCGAAATTCCCTTTAACTCATTTCTCTTATTTTGGGGTCAAGAGACATTTCCATTATCCCAAAATGCATCACCTGATTTGTTGACCAAAAATGTGTAAAAGATAGATATGTAAACTAATACATGTCTAAGAGAAGAAAAATTCCCCCCCACCCCCTTTTTGGTGCAAGCTCTGCCTTTATCGGCAAGGGTTATAGAGGGCAGTATACTTATATTCTTTTTGGAATACTATCTTAGAAAAATTCCCAATGAAATAATGATTTGAGATTGCAAATTATTTTCTCTTTCTGGGAAATAAATAAATAAGGAAACACATAAATTCCATAGTGCCTTTCAATTTTAAGGAGCATAGTGGATTGGATTCAATCGCAGATTCAACCTAAACTCATGAGATGCTGAGGGAAAAGCATTTGATTTTCTAGGTCAGAAGGTAACTGTGAAGAAAATCTGTGTGGATGGGTTCATAGGGAGCTGAGTACTCTGAAGAGCTCATATGCTCCACATTCAGATAATAGCATATGAAAGGGTCTGGTCAAATGTGACATTTGGATGAAATTCTGGATATGGGGGCTATCAGAAGGAATAACACACAGGTTTGTAAAAGGGTGGAGGTGAGAATTCAAGTGACATGGCCTCATGCCAGAAAGACACTCAAAAGGTCAAGCGGGCAAGTCAAGAAGACTGAGCTCTCAGCCTCTGTAGAATGCTGCTTTGCATTATTTGATTTCAGAAGAGTGACAAGAATTCATCCAAGTTATAGTGTTTCAGATCAGGTCCAGTACATTTTTGTTAGCCTCAGAAGCCTCAATTCCTTTTTTGGGTGCGATGTCTGGCAGATAGATGTCTTTGCTACTGGGGGTTTGGTCTGTCAGTAATAAGCATAGACCTCACCAGTAAGCTCGGACTCCATCCCAGACCCACTGAGTCAGATTCTGCATTTTGTAAGATTCCAGGGGACTTGTGTGCACTCCTATATTTGGGAAACTTTGGTGCATGACATGAATATCAGTTTCAATATCATATGAACAACTCTGCTGGAAACTGGTTTTCTGGTAGAGGCCAGGAAAAGAAAAACAAAACAAGAAAAGAGCTCTGGGCTGAAGAACCGAAAAGAGCCATTTTATAATTGGAGAGGAAAAAAAGAAAGCTAAGTTTCAAGGCTGGTGATGTTCTGTGATCCGTCACCACAAACAGCTAAAACTGCAGGGCTGCAGGGGTAGAAAGCACTTTTTCTAAGGTATTGGAGTGACTTCTGGAAATGTTTTCTATAAGAAGTCTCACGTGATGTTTGTGTTTACTTGTGGTTGACCGACCCTGCATAGCTCTCCTTGAAAGGTCATTTTTTTTTAATTTTGTTTTTGAATAAAAAGGAAAAAAAAAACAAAGGAGGAGGATGTTTGAAATGGCTAAATCATGTAAAATATGATTCAGAGTTGTTTACATAAAGTAACCAAGCAACTAGTGATTCAACTAGTAATTTATGTACGCAATGTTAAAGCAGGAATGCCAGATTTTTTTTTTTTTTTTTTTTTGAGCCTGCGTTGAGTGGCTAATCTGACCTTGTGTAAAAAAAAGAGGCCAAAAGTTTTGGGACTCTAGAATGGGGTGTTGGACAAACTGAGAAAGGCACAGGTCTGAGATGGTTATACTGTTTCTGTTGTTGGACTGGGGTTTTCTATGGAAAGAGGCAGAGGGGTGATTTGGGTGACCACTCAGCAGCCCTTTCTTGCTCACAGGCACAACATACAGACATAGACTATTTTGGTGATTAAAAACAAATCACATCTTAGCGAAGTGAATTAAATTTTAAATACAGAATCCGCACAGTGCTCTTTCAGCCTCTCCTCCCTCACATAGACTTAATCACTGAGTTAGGATTTTATGCCCTCTTCCTTCTGTAAAGATACTCCCCACCAAACACCAGCTCAATGGAGGAGCCCACGTGGGGCATCTCTGTTTTAAGTTCCAAGTACCTTTCACTTTTTATGTAGATGACTCTATAGGTGTTGTTCTGCTAGAAAATGAGAAGGGAGCTTCGCAACATATTCAACCACTTCTTTAGCTGCCTCACTGGAGCGAAATTCAGCTTCCTACTTCTTAGCACTTATACTTCCACCTTCCTTTAGATGGGCGGGTTCACACATTCAATTTTTACCCTCAAACCACCACAAGTTCTATTAGAAACAGGAAGGTACACACACTTTAACCAAAATAAATATAACATGATCTAGGGGTTCTTACATTTTCTGTGAGCCTTATGAAAAAAACATTTAAGGGGTGCCTGGGTGGCTCAGCCAGATAAGCGTCTGACTTCGGCTCAGGTCATGATCTCACAGTTTGTGGGTTCGAGCCTCGTGTCGGGGTCTGTGCTGACAGCTCTAGGAGCCTGGAGCCTGCTTCTGATTCTATGTCTCCTTCTCTCTCTGCCCTTCCCCCAGTCATGCTCTCCCTCTCTCTGTCTCTCAAAAACGAATAAATATAAAAAAAAAAAGAAAAAGAAAAAAACATTTAAGCAAATAACCACCTCTCTGGTGGTTATGTAATTTTCTAAATATGGACTTTTCTGTTTCTGAATAGATGCCATAATGGGCAGAAAAGTACAGAAAGAGTCCATTGAGCTACAACTCAGTTCCACGGGCAAAGTAATTCTAATCTTCCTACCTCTGATAATTTCATTTTATGATGTTTAAGTACTTTGAACTTACTAGATGCTGTCACAATTTTTAGGATTACTTAGGCTAACATGCACACAAGGGTTAAAACAAGGTCAGGCTTCCTGACGTGGCATTTTGATTCTGTCGGGGGTAATGACATTCTCTCTGCAGCAGCCTCTGCTCCACTGACTCGTTTTACTTACCGACGGTCAAACACCCTGGCACCAGCTCGTGTGTGTGCCTCAGAAATGCAATGCAGGACAGTTTGCCAAACTTTTCTTTTGAAAACCAAATACCATCTTCAGTTCATCAAATTTGTTACTGAGATGTGGGGGGGGGAGGTGTTTTTCCTTTGGAAAGTTAAATCATTAATCAAAGCCGGTTGGAAATATTCCATAATTGAAATGAAAGTAGGATGGTTCAAGGAGAAAACAATAGCACGTAAAAGAGGAGAAAGTGGGAAAAGTTGATCAGGGCAGTGTTTTTCAAGCTTTCTGTGAGTCACAGGAAGGTCAATTTAAATCACGATATGATACTGCTTAGAATGCCCACTGATATCTTCTATTTGATTTCATGATTTTAAATGCTCATTGACACACACGATTACTTTGGAGATACTCTAAGTTAATTTTCCCAGTCAATGAATCACGAAGTCAAGCCCTAGCTTGAAAAACACTGGATCACAGGTTATGATTCTGAGATCGGAGGCCTGAAATGTCATGGAACTCTGCTCTCTGTTGCCTTCTGATTGGGTCCTTTCCCAATAATATTTACCTCTTTTTTGAAGGTAGGCTTGTCTTCTTGGGACTTTTCTCTTTTAGCTTGTGCTTTGGCCCCCTTTTCTTCTTCCTTTTTATGTTCAAGAGTGGCAAGGTCACTCGTTTAAAAGAAGCCCTTTCTAGCTTGCAGGAGTGAGAGGGTGCTCAAGTCACCTTGCACGTGCCGTGCGATTTTGCTGACTCAGTGCTCACGTAACCCTTGGTGTCAGTGATTCTAAACAGCAGCGTGGGGCAGTTTCTTCCCACCAGAATTTTTTCTCGTGTGCCTGCCAGTGTATTCCCTGGAATCTAGCATGACCTGGTGGTCCCTGTGCGTGTTTATAGGCCTCGTGTGGGGTTTGGTGCATCTCGTTTCTGATCGCCTCAAATGTAGCTGTGGTCATGAGCCCCGTGTGACAAGCAGGAGTGAAAGACACCTTCAGCACAATGCAGACTTAGTGACAGAGAGTTCTCTCTGCAAAGGTGAATATGCAAGCATCTCTTTTTCCTTTCTTTGTGTTTGTTTGGGTTGGAGGGGGAGATAGGTGGGGATACAGGCAGTGGTTAGGTACAGTGCTTTTCATGCAGGCTTGCAGACAGAACAACATCTTTCACAGCTTGCAAACATTCCCCCCGCCCCCATTTCCACCTTTTTCGGGCTCCGTGAATTTATTTGTGTCACCCAGCGGGTAAAAGCAGCAAAATATATTCCCTTAATTACCCATCAGTTATAAACGGATACCACCCCAGATGAATGGCTTTCTGCAAGTCTACATTAAGTCCAGGTCTACATGATGGCAAATCATGGTTTTGACATATTTTTAATGAAAGGTCCAAACCGGCTCCCTTCCCTCCTTTAGTGCCAGCTGATTTCAAGGGGATTACTTTTGCCTTCTTAAGATGAAATTTCTGACCATGATTCTTTTTGTCATTTTCCCACCCCAATTTTTAAAATATGATTTTTAATTAAATGCCAAATATCTGAGTAAAGGGGAGGGTTATGGTTCTCTTGCCTCATGTAGACCTACGGATAGAGGTAAGTTGTTAATAGGAATGAATTTCGATGCAGGTGCAGAATTAGAAGTCAACACAGCACTGCCACACTTATCATCTTTGGGTTAGTTCATTTTTCTGGTATTCGCAACAAGCAAGCACAGAGCAATTAATTTCTCTCTGGCTGTTCCAGTGAATTTGGTTGACTGAACATTTAACCGTCAATCAATTGCTTCGTGCTTACCTATGGCTACGGCCGAGAAAAATGAACAGCTTGCCAAACGAGCAAGCACGTGGGGCTGCAGGAACGTGCCTCGGTCCCAAGTCCGACGTGCATTACATTTCTCGTAAGTCACAGGCAGCACACGTTTGGTGCAAAGGTTTACTGTACCTGTTTCTTTGGGACAGCTGTCTGAAGCTTATCTTCTTGTCCTTTCTTTTCATTTACCCGTTTCCCTTCTATTTTCTCGTCTACCTTTTCCCCTTTCTGCTTTTTCTCTTGTGTTTCTCTTCTGTTCTCTTCTAGCTGCTGACGTTTTTGCTCTTCTAGCTTAGCTTTCTGTTCCTCCTCGGCCTTTGCCCGCTGCCTCTCCTCCGCTGCTCTTCTCTCTTCCTCCTTCGCCCTCTCCCTCTCGGCCGCCTCCCTCCTTTCTCTCTCCTGCGCAGCTGCTCTTTCTTCTGCTTCAATTCTTGCTTTCTCCTCCGCTATCCTTTGTTCTTCCTCAGCCTTCTTTCTTTCTCTTTCTTCTGCTTCCAGTCTGGCCCTCTCTGCCTCGGCTCTCTCCCGTTCTTCCCTCTCCCTCCTTTCATGATGGGCGGCCTCAGCTGACCCCTGCTCCCCCTCCTCCTCTGTTTGAGGCTCCTCTGCACTGATCTGCCCACTCGTCAAGGGCGCTGCCGCGGTTTCTGTTCTGTCTTCTACCGTCCCCTCTACCTGATTTTCTTCAGTGCTCCCCTGCTTTGGCTTCTCTTCTTCCTCTTCCTCCTTCTCCTTTTCTTCCTTCTTTTTCTCCTCAGTGTCCCTCCAGTCATTCTTCTGATAGGACTTTGTGACTATTTCAGTCTCCTCTATCTCGTATCTTTCTTGGCGACGGTCGCTTTTTTCTTCCTTCTCTTCAGCTTCGTTTTCGGCAGTGTTGTTCTGCATCCTTCTGCTCGGTAGCGACAAGCCTGCGTCTGTGACGGTTGGGTCGAACTCCTTCTGCCGCTCCAGTGCTTCCTGAAGGCGTTTTTGGCGTCTCTCCTCCCGCCGAGCCAGGCGCTCCAGGAATGCGGCCTCGTCATCACCCTCCACCTGAGTGTTTGAGGTGGTTGTCTTGACCTCCTCGTCGGGCACGCTGTACGACAGAAACAAGATGGCTTGGATTAATTGGCCAGCTGGATTCACGTGGCCTGAGGCACCCCGGAAGAGATGCTCGTGGTACCAGGCGCGCACCCACGATATCCCCTCAGATGATCTTATAATAGTACGTGCGTGCCCGGCTTTCAGCAGACGGCATAGGCGGGCCTTTGCCCTGAGTCCTTCTCTGGCCACTGGAGTCTACGTGCCAGCTGTCAAACAAAAATGGATGAGCCTTAGCATACAAATACCTCGGCTCCCCTCACCTCTCGAAGTTGCATAACTGCCAGGTGCCCTGTCGCACTGGATCTCCGAGTCCCCCAGGGGAGTTAAGCTCCAGATGCCAGCAGCGGTGACTTGCTTGGCAATGAAACCTTTATTTGGTTGCTTTTCCTTCCCTGTTTCACTTTCCCCACACTGCTACCAGTGTTCCCTGGGATCATTTCACAAATGAACTGCCTGTGTTTAAATCTTTTTGTTCCAGAATCTGCTTCGTGGGCAACTCAAACTAAGACAAGGACCAAACTGAGAAATGAGCGAATTCTTGTAGTATCACATAGTATTTTCACATGTCACCAAGTCATCTAGAATTCTTAAGCTGGATATGTGGGGGGCAAGGCATTTGGAAAGGAAGCAGGTGTACATTACAGTATGGGGGTGCTATACTAATGCCAGTGACCCATGGTAGGGACATCTAACCACCCACCACAATTCATGCTCCTCCTCCCATTGTCATGGGGGGTGACTACCAGTCAAGGATTATATTTCCTGCCCTCCACTCTTCCTTGCACCTAGGTGGAACCATGTGACCAATAATTTCCAATTAAGTGTGAGCAGAAGTGACATGTCTAGACCAAGACAATTAAGAAGCAGAAACACATCCTCTTCCATCTCTGTCTGCTGACTAGATCAGAAAGCTTCAAAGTCCCAGGAGTAGACAAGCACAAAAGGAAAGCAAGTAGGTGACCAGTTCTATTTACTACTCAGAAATACTCACATTGGACTCATTTGTATTGTTGCATTAAATTACTAAAATTTGGGGCTCACTGTTATAGCAGCCAATATTACCCTAATACATACACCGTCTAAATTCTTTGTCAAGATTTCCATGAACAAAGAGTCTCTTGCCCTTCTTCTCTGTAGTTGACAAAAAATAGTTAAATTTGATGTTTATTAAAAAAGAAAAGAAAGTCTCAAAAAACCAAATTGTACCATATCCATCACCTCACTCATTATTACAGCTCAAGCCAGGGCTCTTGGTCTCCATTGGCAGGAAACAGCCAGTTATGTGATACCAGAAATTGTGACCAGAGTTGGAAGAGTATGTCTTGCAATGACATCAAATTTCCATCAAATTTCATGGTTCATACTGAACTGAGCCCTTCTGAAGTTCAAGTTCACTTAATTTTGAAAAAACACATTTCACATTTAACAATAAGAAATAGCAGAGTAAAGGCTGGATTTTAAACTTTCTTGGCTTTAACTGCTGCTGTAGGGCACAGCCTACATGAATTAGACATGTAAGTATTAAATTCCCTAAAAATACAAATAGTTTAGAATTTAAGGGGGAAAATCTATATGTAAGGAAATTCAGATCAATTGAATTAAAATAATTTTTAAAAGGTACTGCAAATTCCCAAGTGTTAGCTACATGAAAGAACTCTCGAGTTAAGAAACCAACAGATTCTACTGGATCTTTCTTTGCCTATTTAGAAATCACAACAGCAACTGTCAGTAGAACTTAAGTGCCACTTAGGGCTGTTCAGCTCCAAGGAGAACACTAATTCTTCTTGTGGGTAATTAATATGTCAGAGATGAGCAATAGGTTCTTAGATCTGAATGTGCTTTAATGAAAAAGAATTTGTGAATCAATCAACAGCATGAACTAACTACTACTAATAAATGAAAAAAAAAAAAAAAAAAAAAGAGAAGCCCAAGTAGAAGGAAGATTTTAAAAACAAGAATACTACTAGTAACTAGTAACTTTTAAGCCACTGCTGATCACTTTCTAATAACCAGATTCAGGAAGGGCCTCAAAATGCCATTTTAAAATGTTTTCTTTCCCTTCCTTTCAGTTCAAGAATAGAAATGGCAGAGATGGTTATGCAGGTCTCCTCTGAAAGGCTCTGATACCATTTTCCTGATACTAGATAAAATTAAGTGCTTATTATATGCAAGGCACTCTGTGTTTTACGTGTATTATAATCTCACTTAAATTTAACAGCATTCCTAAAAGAAAGGTATGATTTTCATTCCTATTTAACAGGGAAAGGCCAAGGTGGTATTCAGAGCCAGGAAGTAAACATACCCACAAGCCCTTTGCTATACTTCCTCCCTAATTAGGAGCTATTTACCAAGAAACAAGGTCTCTTCTTCTCCACCTAATCAATAGGTTTCCTTATTGAATCCATCCTGACTGACAGAATTCAAGACTTTCAGAAATCTACATACTCCCTCATATTTAGGTTCAAGAGGCCAGAACTGTTTTCCTTCAGAATTTCTAGATAGATTGGTTTAAAAAAAACTATCAACAACACCCTCCCAACACACACAAAATAAAACAAACTAAAACCAAAACCACACACAAGATCTTAGGTGGTAGTTTCATTATATTTAATCAGTCCATAATTGTGAATAAAAGTTAATTTTTTTCCATCCTGAACCTGAAATATTCTCATCTTTTTTTTTTTGCCTTGGGGCATACAAATGAATATACTAACAAGTGGCATAATGAACCAGATGACCTTCTATGTGCAAACCTGTAAAGACCCATTTTGAAGAGGTTGAACCTAGTAAGGGTTCTCCACTGTCCTGATCACTACCAAGGCCTGTACAGGAAAAAAACATGCTAGTAAATTCATAAGCCTCATTTGAATAATTACATTACATTAAGCAGGATTCTGCACCTTGCTGAATATCATAGTGATCAGAGAATACTGACTCAGGCTGTTTATCAGGGAAAATAAGACATCTGCAATTCATGCCTACTTTAAAAATTCAAGAACTATTTGCTACTGGTAGGCACAGAGGACTAGCAAGCTAATAAATCTTCAGTTCAAAACAGATTATCGATACCCTAAAGAATAAATGTAAATCATTTTCATTATTTAAAGATGTAGCCCATCGTATTTAGTAAATAAAAAGACTGCTAGATTATAAAATAAAATAAAAGACTTCAATTGGAGTGTGCTTAGAGGATGGGACAGGGAAAGAGAAAGGAGCAGTTGTGTCTGAGTATCTACATTAGTTTGACTGTCCCATCTGATTAGGTACCTACAATGGCCACAAAATGATTGAGCAAGTTAGAATGGAAAAGAGTGGAGCTGGGCTGAGAAGGCAATGCTTTGCTCAGCATGGTCCATTCATCTGGCAGGCTAAGAAGTACCTTAGACATTCTCCATTCCGAAGAGGACAGTACCTGTTCTGGGCATTAACCTCCACCTGGTCGGTCACCTGTCCCAGGGATTCTTCCTCTTGCTTCTGCCGCAGCCTCTCCTGCCGGGCACGGCGGCGCCGCTCCCGGGCGGCCTCCTCCTCATCGTCATCATTCCTCTGGTAGGCAATCCTGCAACATCACAATGACAACCTCTTGAGCATGCCAGCTGTTGACCATCTCAATGCTTCTTTGCAGGATCGGCCCTGAGTCCTTTCCTGAGCTTTCCACGGACCGGACCACAGAGCTCTAAATGGATCATTCTGTTCCTTAGACACTTGATTGGAATGGTTTTTAATCTTTTAAGTATCTGAAAAGCAAGAGTCTACCAGCTAGAGGATAATTTACAATGATCAATAACAGCTTAAACTAAAATATCTACGCAAAAGCGGGCTGTGCAGGGAACTGTGGGGTAGCATATTTAGATTTCTTTACTAAGCTCATTACTAGCATGTTAAGATTTAGAAGCAGAAATCCAAAGCATTGAACCAAAAATAATCAAAACACTTATTGAAACGATTCAGCATGTTGTATGAATTATTTGTGTAGACATGGTCACAAAGAACAGAAAAGAATCAACTTATCAAACTAGGATTCTGGCATTAATAAGCCCAAAGTGCAAATTAAAATTGAGAATAGGGTAATCTCTTTGCTTGGATTTTATTTTTTTCGTTCAGTTCCTTTTCACTGGAGAAGGAAGGTGTTATTGACAACTGACAGGATGGCTTCAAGGTCAGTGTGGTTCCCTAGGAGTCCTCCTCATTGCTCTAATACACGCATTAGAACTCTACCACCCACGGTGGGCACACATGGTAGCTTACAGGTGGACACGTAGATAGAAACCTAAGAGCTGAGGTGGGTAGAAGAGGTACGGAGGGCTTAGCACACATAGATGTTATTTAACTTTTGTGTTTTCATCTGAAGCAAATACCTATTTAGGGAAATTATACAGTCATGATGGCTATGTTGCATCCATTTTTGTTAATACTTCTTCCCAAATAAAGAACTGGAGCTGGGGGAACTACAGATGTCCAAACTCAAGAGGAAGTGACCTGCATGGTTACCTTGGCTACTTGTGAAAGAGTAGCACATACTGAGACACAGAGTGCCAGGAAGACACTAGGGGGGAGGGGGGGAGGCGCGGCTGGCCCAGGGCCAAGCTGGCCTGAAGGGTCCATTGGTTTGGATGGGGCTGCATTGTTCAGTGGGCTACTTTTTACGTTAGGTAGTTAAAGTGCTCCTATTATAATGTTATTTACATATCTACAAATAGAAATCCAGCTATGTAAACATTCCGTGCTTATAATTCTTATACAATGACAAACCTAAAATAATTTACGAAAGGTAGAAAATAAAACAGTAGAACCATGTAATTTGTACCAACAATACGAACCTACTCTAACTGATGATGGTTTGCTTACGTAGGATTACAAATGAGACATTTTAAGGCTCAGACCCAGCACTGTCATCTGCTTCTATCTTCTGACTTCATTAATATGAACGCTATGGGGGTGTCTGGGTGGCTCAGTCGGTTAAATGTCTAACTCTCGGTTTCAGGTCAGGTCATGATCTCACAGTTTTGGGAGTTTGAGCCCCGTGTTGGGCTCTACACTGACAGAGTGGAACCTGCTCGATTGCCTCTCTCTCTCTCTGCCCTTCCCCTGCTCACGCTGTCCCTGTCTCTCTCAAAATAGAAAAATACATTTAAAAAAAATAAAAAAAATACAAAAGCTATGAATGTTTTTCACCTATAAAACACAAGATTAACAATTCCAAAGGTTGGTTGGTTTGTCCTTTGTTACTTCAGAAAATCTGGCATCATACTTATTAAAATCTGCTGGTGTGCAATATTCAAATGCCAATACAAATAAAATGTCACGGTAATTCTATGAAACCGACAGCCTTCTTTCTACAGATAGGGAGAGAAGGGCGGTGTGATGTAGCTGAAAGATGACTAGGGTAGGATGCAGTAAACCTGGTTTCCGGAACTGGTTTCTTACTAGCTTGTGGACCTTGAACCTGAGTTCAATTCCCTCGCCTGTTTGTGACAATCAGGTGAAATCTTGGACATGTCATGGTAAGGCGTTCTATAGTGCAGCGTTTTGTTGTTACTAAGGAAGTTCAGCTGAGGAGCTGTTTTGTGAGGAAAGATGAGTTCAATTTTAGACTTGTTGAATCTAGGGTGACAGCATGACATGAATCGAATGTTCCTTTCTAATTCAATCACATTGTAGTTTGCAGTCAGAAGCCCTTCCCAGTGGTTTGGCTTCAAGTCTTCAGATTCTTGGCCTAATATTCCTTTGGCTTACTTCTCAGTAGACAGCTTTAACCACTGCAGGGAGAATGAGTTCTTAATGACTGCTTCCCAAGCTAATCAAACAGAAAGGCTTGATTTGCTCTTCTATGTCTCTGCATCAGCCATGAGGTCCTGGCTACTACTTGGGGTCTTTCTTTTCCAAAACAAGCAAGAGACAAAAAAGCCCCATCTGAGACATCCTATGCTGAAAACAACCTCCCCTGCCCCTATTTCTCCTAAAAGGAATCTCACATGAAGCCCTCAACTTCTCACTCTACTTGAAAAATTTGAGATGTTACTGCCTTCCTCCTCCCGCCTGCCCAATGTGCTTCGTGGCTGGAAGCTGCTGGCTTACACCTCTGGTGTGAACCACATCTGCCATCTCTCTGGGCCAGGCTGCACTCAACCTTTCTTCATCTGGGATTTCTCCTTGGAGGAGTGGCCTAACAACCGGACTACTCTATGTCTCATTTAATTCTTCTCACTTGGTATTCTTCCTTGGTAGCTCCTTGCCTAAGATTCACAGTTACAGGGGCTAGATTTTTTAATAATCTTTTATTAGCACTAATAAAGAAACATATTCAAGTCATTTTCAAGGTTAAAAACAAACAAGGAGCCAAAATGCTTCTGTGGCATTTTGAATCACAGCACGCCCTTGTTGCTGGCTTAGTCACATACCACGTGACTTTATGTATTTTTTTTTAAAGTTTATTAGTTTATTTTGAGAGACACAGAGACAGCATGAGCAGGTGAGGGGCAGCAAGAGAGAGAGAGAGAATTCCAAGCAGGCTCCATGCTGCCAGCATAGAGCCTGATGTGGGGCTTGAAACTATGAAGCCGTGAGTTCATGACCTGAGCCAAGACCAAGAATCAGATGCTTAACTGACTGAGCCACTCTGGTGCGCCTAACCACTTGACTTTATAAATGAAATTCCATCTGTGTCAAATAACTTGATATGTGTGGAAATTCTTCAACTCTGAGAGTCCCTCCATGGGCCTGAGTAGTTTCCTAGCTTTTAGGCCTCTCTCACAGCAGCTTACCCTTCACACTACTACCACAGGTTTTCTTTCAAAATGGACAATTTAATTTGTTTCATTTTTTCTGATTCTAAAAGTAACATACATCTCTCATTTGCTTCAACCAGACAAGACCAGATGTACAAAAGAGAAGGTGAAAATCAGCGCACTTATCACACCACTCAGGTATGGACACAAACAGTGTCTGATGTGTTTTACCAGACATCTTGGTATGCCCACACAGCTACCTTTATTTTTAACAAAGTGGGATTGTGTGATAGCTATCATTTCATAAAAGGTTTCTTTACTTTTATTTATGACTGTTTTCAACACATTTGCCAAATATAATTTTCAACGGCAACACAGTATTCTATGCATAGATGTACATCATAGTTACATGGATGTAACTATAATATAATTTATTATCTATAGATGGACAGTTAGGATTTTTCCAACTTTATAGTCTTACAAATGAGGCTGCAAAGGACATCTTTCTAGACATACTTTGTCACTTGTTCAACAATTTATCCACGAAAAATTCTCAGGAGCTAGCATTTCAGAGTTTAAGAGTATCCTGATTTATATACTGAGGTAAAAACAAAATGTTAACATTTCTCATTTTCCACACGCCAGATTGGAACATATTTGAAGTGCTGCTGTGCTGGGAGCCACACCGGCCTCGCTGGATGACAGTCACAGTGAGGAATGGCAGCATTTGCACAGCTCCTGCCATGAGAAGCCAAACTGGTATCTCCTTCTACTACTACTGGCTCATGTTGGAAATGAGCCTGCTGGTATTGACCAGGCCTCACAATATTCCAGATCAGACTGATATTCCTCACACAGATATGCCATAAGGAAAAGCATATTCCTGCCTCTTCAAAAGAGATTTTAGATGAAAGCACTGTAGATGTTTGTCAAAAGGCTCTTCTGAAGGGCCTTGTAGACCCAAGACTTAGATAATAAAGGGGGTTAAGAACACAGGAGTTACAACTGAGCCTGGCCCTGAGACCAAGAGCCTAATTTAGAGTTAAGGAACAGATAAGGGCAGAACTTAAGTTAATACTTATACCTTTTCTAACTGGTGATGTATGGCAGTCCCTTCCCCAAGGCCTACTTTCCGCAAGCACCCTCCCTTACACTGGCGGCTGGGATGAGGATAGATAAGAGTAGCTAAAACATAACCCAAAAACAAAGACCGACACATTTAGGGCTTCATGGGGTTTACACATTCAGCATCAAGTCAAAAAAGTTTCCACAAACAACTTATTAACCAGTTCAAAAACATTTCATCCTTTTGTGAGCCAGACAAAATGACTCCTAGCCTGTCTATACACAACTTAACCTATGTCCTAATCCTAGCGTTATTAACTTAGAACAAATATGTATGTCATCCTGTTTTTCACTAAAAACATCCTGTTATTTCCGTAGTTGTAAGATTTACTCAACCTCACTATGATTGGGGTAATTCTGCAAGAATACTTCTGAAAAAACCTGTTTTTGTACACTTTTCAAAGCATCTTATCACAAAGACTTTTCCATTGTAAACATTCCTTTTTCTGATGCCATGTTATCGTTGGACCTATAAATAAAGACACCAAAACCGACAGTGCAGAGATGCCTGCCTGGTGATCAGAAAGAATCTCGGGGCTCTCTCATTCTCTCTCGCCAACACCGTCCATCCTTCAGGGACCCCTGGACCGGCTGGAGTGGGTCTCCAGCATGGCTGACTAGTAAAAATCATACCTAACTGCCCCCTGGATTGTAATGAAAGGGTGCCAATCCCTTCGTTCCTTCTGTGACACATCAGGCACCGGCA